GTTTCAAGAAAAGTGGTATTTTTGTATCAATTTCCAATGCTGGTCGGCTGACCAGCATTGGAAAAAACTGGCTTTTTTCAAATACTGGCCCCAATTGACCATCGCACTTGTTTGCAATCGATTACACACCTATGAACGGGTACAAGGCAGCTAGACTGGTTCCCTGACCTTACAATTCCCCAATGTATGTAAACTGCTCTGTTTCTTCTTATATGGAGTCAGGGAACCAGACTACAGGAAAATGATTGTTTTTCTTGGTTTTTATAGCATTTTCGAACCCAAAACCTCAAAAAAAATCACCAACAGCAGCTATGTATGTATTGTGTATGGCTCTAACTGCCTGAATTTGGAGAGCTGGGCTTACTAGTTCAAGTCAACTCACCGGTTTCATTTCCCCCGTTTTCTTGCAATAACTGCAACTTTTGGGCCCAAACATCTGGCACTCCACGGCACCATGCCTGACCCTGTCTTGCTTTTGGCACTGATCACTGCAGTACTTGGCCTGTGGGCAACGACCACATGTCACCAGACCCTCTGGCAGGGGTTTCATACAGCGCTAACAGTTGCCTGGTTTGACATCCATAGTTTCCACCAGTCAGCTGTAAATTATCAGTTAATTTGAAATGTTTTAGAAAGAGACAAATACATGTACATGTACATTCATAGGTGGGTCTTTTAATAAGCACCTGCTGGCATTGTGATAAATAAGACAATATTTTTCACTCATTCAATGCAAAATCCGGTTGGTTGTCAGGTGACCGACTCAAATTTGCTAGAACCTCTGTTTAAAAAATGCTTTGTAGCTCCCAGTTCAAGTGTGTATATCGAGATGATCCTGTGGGGGGAAAAAACAGCCCTGCCTCCTCTCTCCAATTCTCAGTTGGTTTTTTTTATCTCATTCTCAAAACGACCCTTTCTTTCATTTTCAAAACGACCCTTTCTTTCATTTTCAAAACGACCCTTTCTTTCATTTTCGATACAATGCTTTCATTGGAAAGTGGTTAAAAGAATGCCACATACAGCCTGCCAAAAAAAAATGGTACAATCGAAAACAATTTTTTTTTCAATATTAAATCTCAACATAAGTAAGTCGTTTTGAGCATCACATTAATTAAAGAAAAAGACCAGGCTTTCCGATACTTTTTGTTTCATCTCATTTGCTTTTGTCAATCCAGAGATAACTCCAGTTTAATACTGCAGAACACAAAAATCGAGTTTGTTTCTTTTGCCAAGTTGCAATCTTTTGTGAGCTTCAAGACAGCATGGCACATACTCGAAACAACTCTGCCCATGCATAAAAGTGGCACAAAATCGATTTTGGTGTATCGCACTAAATTGATTATATCTCTGAATTGACAAAAGCAAATAAGATCAAACCCCAAGCAAGAATGACTTATTTTGAAATTTCACATTTAACCAATTTTGTTTCTGATTGTACCATTTTTTTGTAGACAGGCTGTAGTTCTAAAAAAAAAAAAGCCCACATTTTTTGCTATTTTAGCCCTGAATGGCATTCCATTGAGGAAATTCATACTCTATTCATTTTTTGTTATAGACACATACATGTAAGGGGGTTTGTGTTTACTGTTTGCTTCAAAGACCAACAAAAATGATGTGTTTCCTATTTCAAAAAAAATAAGGGGGGGGGGAATGGGGAAAATTTGTTTTGGGGTTGTTGTTTTTTTTGTGCTCAAATTTTTTAAAATGGATTTGTAACAGTTAAGATGTGAATCAACTGTTCATTCTGCATTGCCTGCGCTGTTTATACATGGGCTTCCCTGCCTGTAAATTGGGGGGGGGGGGGGGAGGTCTAACCTAAGGCATGCAAAAGGCACGCCCTGCTTACCGGGTCCGGCGGCATGCCCCTGAACAGTTTAGAAAGCTATTCCTGCATTCATTCTAAGGCAATTTAGAGAATAAATTGAGGAATTTCAGCATGCCATTTATTATTTTGGCCCCTTTTTACTGGTATAACATTAGTCAGTGGCTACTGATCCGCTACTGAGGTAGACTAAAGAAAACCCACCTATTTCTTACTTTGTCGCTTAAATGGTATGTGCAATTTTCCGTAGACTGGAAGTTTACTCACCTTTATGACTCTTTGACAGCCTTCTAGAACTCGCCTCCTAGAACTCACCTCCTATGGTGAACTTGTACTAAATGGCAGCTGCTACATGTATGTACCAATGCAAGGTTTAAGAGACATAAAACACGGAGAGCTTGCACGTTGATTGCTTCACCGACAAGTTCCCTGATGAATAAGATGTTTTTTTCCTCAATAATGAAACGTGAACCTACCCCAGTAGTACAATTCTATTTATAACACGGGGACATGTATTTCTCATCCAAAAAATTCCCGTCATGAGAAATACGTGTTTGTCCTTTTCGGCTACTGGAATGTGTGGGTGTGTGTGTACTTACATTTTTGTACATGTTCATGGTCATATGGGGAACCAGGAACAAATGGTAACAATAGGGACACTGGTACCCCATAACTCGGTCTTTAGAAATTTCAGTACCCCATATTAGGAAATGCTAATGCTATGTAGTTTGAGATTTCAATAGGAACAAGGGGTATGTGGTTGTGGGTGAGGCTGTGTGTGCAGTGACGTGGAAAGGAAATAGCATTTAAAAAACAAAAAAAGGCGAGGAAAGTACAACTGCGCGCCAACCTGACTCCCCCACGCTATGCCAACCTGTCTGTGTGTACATGTAACCTGGAAAAATGACACACTTGACTTGGGGATTCAACTCGACACAAATAATTTAATACAAGACCAGGATCTAAGAACAAGTCGCGAACTATTTTATTAAGAAAAGGATTTTAAAATGAAACAAACTTGCGACCAAAAAATAACAAAGTTAAAACTACAAAACTGAGATAAAAACTAAAACCAACACCCAACACAGAGCGTCAATATAATGGACCTTAAACGCACTCTGACTGAAACCAGGTGACTTTAGCAGCTCAAAAACACACAGGGCAAGCGCTCCCAAGAAAAGGGGAAAGAGAGGAAATAACTCCAATAAAAAACAACTCTCTTCTGTGCCGCTGGTCTGCTAAGTGAGGGGCTGTGGACTTACAGGGTGGCAGAGCACATGGTCTTATCAAAGGGGCTATTGTTCTAAGGGGTCATGTTACTGGGGAAGAGGGAAAAGTTAATCAAAAACCTTAAACCAAAAACCAGAAACTAAGCAAAGAATAAATAACCTAAAACAAACTATAAAACAAAGAGTAAGACTTAAACCAAAAAACTAAAACCCTAAAACCAACACAGTGTGTAATAATAAGTGGACCTTAAAGAACACTCAGGCAGAAAATCTGTAACTCTAGCAGAAAAACACTCACACTGGGCAAGTCGCACCCAAGAAAAATCAAGAGGAAAGAGAGGCTCAACAATATAGTGTTCTCTCCACTGCCGCTGGTCTGCTTCTGAGGGGTGTTTGGTCTTACAGGGTGGCAGGGCACATGGTCTTGGGGGAAGGGGACCAATGGCATGAATCTAATTTACATACAATCCGAAGTTGTTACTGGGGAGAGTTCATCAGGGGGAAGCACTACTCTGAAAGTGTTGGGGACATTTAATAAAACCACTGGATTTCCTCGGGGGGGGGGGGGGGGGGGGTCTACTCCTATACTAAAGCGCTACAAAAATACATTGAAAAAATACAACTTAAATTTGGCCCTGCCACATGTGCAATGACATGGAAAGGTGGTTACGTTTTTGCTCCCCCCCCCCCCTTCAAAATTTTGATCTTGTGGCACATATGTTCATGGGTGCCATTTAATTATGCGCATATTTATATTTACCCCCCCCCCAATATTTTGTAAAGACTGCCTTTTTCCATTCAAATGCCCTTTTTTAATGGGCTTAACCCCTCCCCCACCCCCTCAATAATTTGTAAAGAGTGCCCTTTTTTTTTTAAGTGCCTTTTTTGACAAGAAGTGTTGCCCTTTTTTGTTGCATTTGCCGTTTTTGGTGCCTTTTTCTGAATTTGGCACATGTATCGCCCTAAAAAGCTCCATATGTCTACCTGTCTACATTCTCACCACGGATGTGCAACTGCCCTTTTCAAAAAAATTTACCCCCCAATGAAGAGGACCGTGCTACACCACTGGAATCAACTGTGCTGGTGTAGGCTTACCTGAACCATCAACAGGTGTATTAAGTCCCAATTGATAGTCTTACCCCTAACATTTCTCCAAAACAATTTAGATTTAATGCCATATAATGCCTTTTAAAGGTGTAGGCCTGATTTCTGTTCTCCACCTTGTATGAAGGACCATCAATCAAACACTATAAGTTACACAAGGATCAGTGCTGCCGGTTTTGCAATTAGAAGCATTTTTATGAAATCTACATGCCCATGGAGAACTGTATTTTTTTTTGGTATACCGTGTACACTTACCATGAATCACATTTTCATTCATATCCACACACAACGTATCTCAGCTGTATCGATCAAGCCATGTACCTTTAAAGTGTCTTCAGTATTAATATACCATTGAACCAATGATGTAGACTACAATGTACATGTACATGTAGATGAAATCAAGTGTTTTTTTTAATCACTGATTCATAAAAAAAATTTCAAAAGCATTTATCAATTTATTGAGTTTTGTGGATGGGTATTATGGAGTACCGAAGTGAATACGTCACGCGCACAAATGTGTGTGAAAGACATTAACGCGGGATTCAGCCCAAAGAACCAATAAGCGCGCGTACTCCATTCGTTTGCGCTACACTTTCTGGTTCTAAATGGCGTCACTCTTTGGTACTCCATAGGAACCTGTAAACTCCTTAGTGATGGGTGTAAGGGTGCATGGCAAGATTAAGACACATTTTTAGACATATCAATACCCCTGGTACTTTGAAAGTTAAAAAAATAAAAAATAAAAAGTCTGATTTAAATTTTTTAAATAATCTGATTTGAATCAAATAAATCCGACTTTTTTGGATAAAAAAAAAGAAAAAAAATCAAATAAATCGCCAACCTGCTTCCAGTAATATGGATGGTGCAATTAAAGTTAAATGAGTATGTACAGATGCACGATTAAAGTCTGAATGTTCTTCTTGATGATTGGCATGGTTTGACGCTCCATCAGAATGCGCGAGATATACCACAGCTTAGCGGTCAGAAGGCAAGTACCATTCCAGTGCCCTCTCTAGACCAGACGGAGAGGTAAGGCTCCTGGCATTCACTCGATTCTTGAACGGCACCAGTTTGTTGAGTTCCTCCCGGAAGTCACGCATCTGCAGCCCTTCACACTTCATGGCCTCCTTGAGAAACGGGATGTGGTCCAGCTCTGGGAAATGGAAGCCCCCGGCCATCATGTTTGCCCGTAGGTATGCACAAAACCAGTGAGTGTTGTTGAAATACTCTATGCGGTATCTGAGGGTTCCTGGACCGGAAATCTCCTTCCCCGTGTCATCTTTGCTGAAGGCCATCGGACTGGAGAGCGCCTTCCCTGTGTCATCTTTGCATAGCTGCATTGTTGTCTTGATGGAATTGTTGATATCTCTCCCAGTGTGTCTCTCCAATCCGCTTGCCTCTGGCATCCATATGCTCCAATTCGTAGTCTCGGTAACTAGCGTGGCATTCTTATTGTTTGGATTCAGCAGTGGCCTGAGAGTTTGGAGAAGCTTGCGGAATTCGAAAAAGTCAGCCAGGTTGGCTGTGAAGATGCGGTCAAATTTGGCCATTTTCAGAGCCTGGTGATCATGTGGGATTTCAAAGCAGCAGGAAACCAGCATGTGTATGTGGAGCCTACCTTGGCTTAGGAGGGTTGATGTTTTCTGAAGCTGCTGTGCCACATATTTGTGGTACATGACGGTGGCTGAAGTTGTTTCACCTGCACTACACTCCTGCACTTGCAGGCTGTCCCAAGCTTTGAAAGGTGTGTTACTGTTATGAATACAGTACACAAAATTCTCAGTGACTAACAAATGTCCATCTATATTTTGACGTATTCTTGCTGTGAGAGTTGGGTTGTCAAATGGCAGACTTCCAATCGGGGTGTCTTGAGCAAGAAATAGGCCATGTTGGAACCACGTCTTTAAGCTCTCGGCTTCCTTAGGTGAGAGCCTTTCAAAGTAGATCTTTAATTCATGTTGGAAGGAGGGAACCTGTGTCAGGACGAACTGTCTTCGCTTCGTGAGGTTCACCGAGGAGCTTCTGATGCGTTGGCACTCGAGGGAGTACCAGCCTTTCCAGACATAGCGAAGTTTGGTAACGTCCTCATCGGTGATGGACACACACCCCTTGGTGGCTTCCGAAATTCCCCTGGCATCAGCTTGGATGAGTTTCTTCAGGCTGGTCTTGGTCAGGTCGTAGTCACTCTTGGAGATGTGCAGGGAGTACCAGAGTGTGGCTAGGCTGGTGGCAATGCCTTCCCTGTCTTCGTGCTGAATCAGCATGTAAAGGAAAAGTACATTCCTGGCCATGACGTAAGGGTCCGAGTCATTGAGCACAATATGAACTTTTCCCTGGTACTCTGCAGGCAAGGAGGCAGCTGTCAGTACTGTGTGTCGCAGATCTCCACACCCTGCTGAGAAGATGTAGAAGTCACACATTGTCTCCTCCTCACTGATTCCGTCTGCCCATTCGTTCTGCTCAAGCTGAAGGAAATCGCATGCCATCGTGGTGCCAAAGTAATAAGGGGGAACTAGGAACATGTCCCGCATGCTGTAGTCACCATCCTGTCTCGAAAGATCAGCACAATCTTCAGTCATTTGATGAGAAAGATCAGCGATCATTGCTTGGACGTCTTGGCATACCTCTTTATGGGCTGCCCAGCTCTTCCGTTGGCATGTGCCATTGCAGTACCATGCGTTGTTGCATCCTGCGCACTGGGAAGATCAGAAAACACAGGGTAATTAGAATCTGACTGCAAACAGAGACTGTTTGCAAACAGAGACTGTGCTGTAGAGGTCATACAAATGGTAGATATTCATCATGTAGACAAATGTAGAAAATATGGAAAGTTGATAATTTTCATGTACAATTTGTGCATGCATTCCACCACAGGTTCAAAACAACTGGACAGAGCACAACAATGAAAACATTCAAACGGCAAACTCATTGTGTTTGCGTTCATTCTGATTTCCTCACTTCCGTAGTTTGTTTCTCTGTAGTAAAATGCTTTTTGTTGTGTAAATTCCAAAATGCTTAAATGTCTTTGGGTACCCTATTAGGTTATGCTGTCATCATGCTGTTTTTGTGTTTCAACCCTAATGTCCTAAGGGCTCTTTGGGGGTCAAGGACCAAATACCACAGAATACTACATGGGTTGTGTACACTTTACAGAAAGAAATGCATACTACAGGTTTCTTCTACTCAGTAGTATTTTGTTGCTTTGAGTGCGGTTAGGGTTTTAAGCATTCCTCACTTCCGTAGTTTGTCTGTCTGTAGTGGCATGGTTTTTGTCTAAGTACTGATCACTTATCACTAGCAATTATTCAAAGTTTGACCTTATCTCGCTTGTAATTTGATACCTGGTGACATCATGATGATGTCACAAACTTGTTCACGCCTTCAAACCAGGGTTCAAGTTCAAAGTAGGGTCTATTATTTCATGAACAGTTTGAAAAAAAACTTTTGTTCTTGATTTTAGGCTTCTGTTTGCGTTTTGAATTCACCTAACTTTGACCTTCCTGTAACCCAGAAAGGAAAGGTCAAGCAACTTCACGTACATGACAAAAAAATATTTTTTTATTCAGTGATCTATCCGATTACAAAATATGAACATGATTGATTATTTTGTTGAAGAGTTATAAGTGAAAGGTGTTGGTCACGTTTTCAACTAAAATTGTTGGAATTTGATACCAGATGATGTCATCACGACATCAGAACAATATGCACCACTCAGGATCAGGGTCAATAGGCCTATATCTTCATAATTACAAGTTTATACAATAAACCATTTAGGAGAAAATCCGCAAGTATTGTCCAGAAAAAGAAAAGGATGAATTGAAAGATTAATTTGGATCATTTTAAATGGTGATCGGGTTGTGCCCGATCACATAATTAAATGTATTTTCCATAATTTTTCCCAAATTTATAAAATTCTTTTTCAAACTCCAACATGGATAATGCAGAATTGCAACATCTGCAATAACATTTTTACTTTTTCCCATAATGTACACATGTACATGTAGGGATAAAACAGGAATTAGATCACCAACAGCAGCTATGTATGTATTGTGTATGGCTCTAACTGCCTGAATTTGGAGAGCTGGGCTTACTAGTTCAAGTCAACTCACCGGTTTCATTTCCCCCGTTTTCTTGCAATAACTGCAACTTTTGGGCCCAAACATCTGGCACTCCACGGCACCATGCCTGACCCTGTCTTGTCTTTGGCACTGATCACTGCAGTACTTGGCCTGTGGGCAACGATCACATGTCACCAGACTCTCTGGCAGGGGTTTCATACAGCGCCAACAGTTGCCTGGTTTGACATCCATAGTTTCCACCAGTCAGCTGTAAATTATCAGTTAATTTGAAATGTTTTAGAAAGAGACAAATACATGTACATTCATAGGTGGGTCTTTTAATAAGCAGCTGCTGGCATTGTGATAAATAAGACAATATTTTTCAGTCATTCAATGCAAAATCCGGTTGGTTGTCAGGTGACTGACACAAATTTGCTAGAACCTCTGTTTAAAAAATGCTTTGTTGCTCCCAGTTCAAGTGTGTATATCGAGATGATCCTGTGGGGAAAAAAACCAGCCCTGCCTCCTCTCTCCAATTCTCAGTTGTTGTTTTTTATCTCATTCTCAAAACGACCCTTTCTTTCATTTTCAAAACAACCCTTTCTTTCATTTTTGATACAACGCTTCCATCGGAAAGTGGTAAAAAGAATGCCATATACATATAGTTAAAGAAAAGCCCACATTTTTCGCTGTTTTAGCCCTGAATGGCATTCCATTGAGGAAATTCATACTCTATTCATTTTTTGTTATAGACACATACATGTAAGGGGGTTTGTGTTTACTGTTTGCTTTAAAGACCAACAAAAATGATGTGTTTCCTATTACAAAAAAAATAAGGGGGGGGGGGGAATGGGCAAAATTTGTTTTGGGATTGTTTTTTTTGTGCTCAAATTTTTTTAAATGGATTTGTAACAGTTAAGATGTGAATCAACTCTTCATTCTGCATTGGCTGTGTTGGTATACATGGGCTTCCCTGCCTGTAAATGGGTGGTTGGGGGGGGGTCTAACCTAAGGCATGCAAAAGGCACGCCCTGCTTACCGGGTCCGGCGGCATGCCCCTGGACAATTTAGAAAGCTATTCCTGCATTCATTCTAAGACAATTTAGAGAATAAATTGAGGAATTTCAGCATTCCATTTATTATTTTGGCCCCTTTTTACTGGTATAACATTAGTCAGTGGCTACTGATCCGCTACTGAGGTAGACTAAAGAAGCCCCACCTATTTTCGCTTGAATTATATATTATTGTGCAATTTTCCGTAAACTGGAAGTTTACTCACCTTTATGACTCTTTGACAGCCTTCCAGAACTCGCCTCCTATGGTGAACTTGTACTAAATGGCAGCTGCTATATATGTACTTATAAATGCAAGGTTTAAGAGACGTAAAACATGGAGAACTTGCACGTTGATTGCCTGACAAGTTCCCTGAAGAATAAGATTTGTTTCCTGAACAGAGCAGCGTGAACCTAGTACATCTATTTATAACACGGGGCTGTGTATTTCTCATCCAAAAAATTCCAGTCATGAGAAATAACTGTTTTCCCTTTTCAGCTACTGGAATGTGTGGGTGTGCGTGTACTTACATTTTTGTACATGTACATGGTCATATGGGGAACCAGGAACAAATGGTAACAATAGGGACAATGGTACCCCATAACTCAGTCTTTAGAAATTTCAGTACTCCATATTAGGAAATGCTAATGCTATGTAGTTTGAGATTTCAATAGGAACAAGGGGTATGTGTTTGTGGGTGAGGCTGTGTGTGCAGTGACGTGGAAAGGAAATAGCATTTAAAAAAAAAAAAAAAGGCGAGGAAAGTACCGCTATGCGCCAACCTGACTTCCCCCACGCTATGCCAACCTGTCTGTGTGTACAGACAAGATCAAAATGATTATGCTGATAGCATTGGGAAAGGCAAACTTTGGTCACTTAAAGAAAGCTCGCATTCTATAGCTCGGTTCAAAGACAGACCCACGTAGTAAAGTTGTGCTTTAAACAATTATGTCACTCATGGCGGTATCACATGTCACATTGTACAGTCAACTGTTTAGAAATCTACATATCTATTTTGGCCGAAACTTGATACATAGAAGGCAATATAATGACAATGTTAAATATATAAGTGATGTCATCATACTTCATTACACATTTTTTTTCATGGATTTTTTGAGCATTAAATATTGAGAATTCTTTCATTATAAAGAGGAAACATTGTTTTGTTTGATGCTCTACATGGTGTGCTAACATCTCCCAGTTTTCACTTGCCACCGTGCAAGGCCTTAGATCAAAATAAGGAGGGTAAATTCTTGCACAGCTGCTGAATATATATTGTATGGCTTTTGTTTGTTTCAGAATGAGTCACAGATCTTCCCTCCAACAACTGGTGGAGCCGAGAAAATGGCCGACGATCTCAAGATACCATTCCTAGGAAAGCTGCCCCTGGATCCAAGAATAGGTAACGAGTACAGAAAAGCTAAATGATAAAACCCCCAAGAGTGGAGGTTCTTTGTATCACATGGTTCTTTGTATTTACACATTGAAGTAAATTACAAATGCAGTTGATTACAATGAGTTTTTAAAACCTAAACTAACTGATTCCTTCGGTCTGGTTCCCTAGGTAAATGCTGTGATGAGGGAACATCCTTCTTTGAGGAGGTACCAGACTCCCCTGCGACACAATCTTACCTGTCAATCATTAGCAGTGAGTAGACCACGCCCAGTTTTCAAGCATGTAAAATTTTCAATATGTGGTTGTAGGATTTGAATTACATGTACACAATTCGTCAGTCGCACCACAAAGTGACATACCATGTGTACAAATTCCATAGATGATACCGCACTTCATGGTGCATCCGAGGAATTGTTTATAATCCCAGAGTCTTATATAGCGCACGTACCGGTATCTACCTACAATTAAGTACTCAAGGCGCTGGTAATGATGTCTATTTTTAAAGACAGGTCAACAAAGTTTTATGAGAAACATGAGCCCCATTATGTAGCAACTTAAAAGAGAATACAAGATGCTGCGGCGCATATTGCAGCCAGGCCAGAAACACACTTTCTTGTTTTAATATACTCCCCGAGGACAATGCTTTGTGTTTCCCTTTGTCGCTGTAATATAACACTCTTCAATAGACTAGGCACACAAACCTGCTACAGAGGAACGTTTTGAACAAAAGACCCAACTCACGAGGACTGAAAGGATCTGTTGTTCTCCCTTTGTGTGTCTGTCCTCGGGGGTTATGTAAATGTAGAACAAGTACACCTGGGCAAACCCTTCTCTTAGCGATAAGTGTTACTGGGTTCTTTAACGTGCATTACACAACACACGGGACCTACGGCTTTACGTCCCATCCGAAGGACGAAGCAATAGGGGTAAAGTGCCTTGCTCAAGAGCACAAGGACCATGATCTCCGTCAGGATTCGAACCCATGTACCATGGCACACGAGTCAAACACCGTAACCATTGGACCACAGCCCCCCACATTTTCACAGCAATTTCAAGAAAAAAGTATGCGTCCATCTCGTAATACTTGAAGCTGTTGTTCGTAGTGGTATGGTGGTACTTCAAGATTCTGACTGCTCTTGAGGTTTGCTTCGAAGTCACAGGAATTAACATTTGTTTATTTGTTTTTCATTTTGCAGAACTGAGAAAATACTGTCAAAAGGACGGCCAGACCGAAAGTTCCATGGATTGCTCATAGCTTGGTGAAAACACAAGAACTTCAGTGTATTGCAATTTTTTTTTGTTATTTGGAAATAATTTCAACTCGGGCAAAAGATGGTCAGTGAATGTTCCCCACGGAGTAAATATATTAGCATGGCAGGCAAAAACGTTGATCACGAGTGCGGAAGGTATCACTATGTGTAGAACAGACTCTATTCTCGAGAATCGCCTTCTGCCCGTTCCCAAGTGAACAGCGCACTCCGGATGCTGATTATGACCGCGGGAGTGCATGCCAAGTGTACTGGTCCAGACTGGGACCTGGAGTGCTCTGAAACGTGCAAAACTAAATCAGGCCAACTTTACTCACTCTTTAGCCAGCAAATTTCTCCAAAAATTCCATTGGGCTAAGAAAAGGTCCTCAGTATTTCACCAACTCTGGCCAAGTTCGCACAAGGACTATAGTTAACCATAGTTCGACTAACGCTTGCCCGAACTCTGCCTAGTCGACGGTGGTTGACTACGCTAGTCGACTATTTGGAACCAGCCTACTGGGGTTGGTTGCTTCGCTGGTAACCAATAGCCGCGCGCATTCATAACGCCAGCAGAGAGCCAGGATCCAGAAGTTTTGCGACGACATTTTGACCAGCGTTTGACTAGAGACGTTCGCACGTTGCTATCAGTGCGCAGGCGTAAGGTACGTCACAAATCAACCACTAGTCGACTAATGGTCCTTGCCCGAACTTGGCCCAAGTTTGCAGACTGGATTCAATTTTTAAAGGAGACTTTCTTTTTTTGGCACATGAAAGGGAAGTCAAGGGATTTCAAAATGAGGCTACAGACTAGACTGGTACATGGCCAACCATGGTCCAACTGTTTGAAAAGACTGACCTCTTCATTCAGCGTCATTAGTCTGGTGGCCGACTCTAGAGAAATATGTAGTAAATTGAGACTAGCTCCCTTTTCATGCCACATGTTTCTGAAATTCTTTTGGTTGATTGATGCAGTACTGAAGCGGTGTTGGACTGGTTGTTTCAGGTGCCAGTGGATTTTCTTGTATTGCATGTTTTCAATACCTTAAGTTTTGGGACTCTCATAGTCATACGCAGTATTAAGAATCCCAAAATTTCGGACTAGTTCTGGTCATGCCAACAACAATCCTCACAATGTTCATGTTGTTTGATTCTTCTGATGATAAATACAATATGCACGGTGATAACCTTGGCCAAGTACAAGCTCCGGCTTTCTGCCAGCCACGGCTATTCATCGCATTTATTTTTGTAAAGTCTGTGTAAAGTCTGTGAATTGAAATGCTTATTATTATAATAATTACGATGAATAGAAATAAATGAAATCAAATCAAATCAAACCCCGATATGCCAGTTTGTTGCAGTTTTTTCTTATCTGGGAAAAAGAATACGTGGAAATGTCCACATGAAGAGAAGGTTCTTTAGGCGATGAGGAATTTGCAAGGCATTTAAGACTGACTGTTGGAATATTTGAATGTGTATTGGCACAAATCTATGATAATAATAATAATAATAATGGGTTCTATATAGCGCTTTTACCTAAGATCAAAAGAACTTTATTAATATCATTATTACCCCTGCCCATTGAAACATTCCAAATACAATCTCACAGGTACCAATGTACTCCTGGGTAGGGACTCTGGGGAGAAGCAAAGAGTGACAAAGTACCTTGCCCAAGGGCACACGCACCATAACCCCCAGGCTGGACTCGAACCCACAACCCGCAGAATTACAGCAGACCACAAATTCAATGCCCCAGACCACGAGGCCACGGCACTCCAATTTACAACATATGACCTACTTGTCGGCCATCATGAGAACGGGCTTTTGAACAGGCCCTGAGAATTGAAAAAGACCCCCCTACCTGCTGTTAATAGAAACAAAGATACTACTCATGGAAGTATAAAGTGCTGAAAAAAAAAATTCACATTAACAGCAGTCTAGAAGAACGTGAGCTTCAATATACTCACTCAAAATCTATTACAACTTGAGCCTTTTTTTGACAGACGTCAATGCACAAATAAAATTTGCAAACACTTTATGCTCAATGTGTGCAATTTCAGTTATTTATTAATGATCCTTTTCATTCCTTTCATAAATGCAAAAAATTATTACATATTTGGACATTAATTGGCGATAAAGTGGGTATATGCAGCAAGTATATTTAGTACAAAAGCAAAGTCCAAAATGAATATTTAAAAATATTTCTTAGGTTTTTTGTAATTTATATTCTAACATACCATAACCTATGCTACATCCTTGTTATTAGTACCAATAAATATCTTCTACAAGTATTTTACTACGTAATTACACTATTTCTACTAAAAATTGCATTTTCAAAAAAAAAATAGGAATGTGCGTGGTGAAAAGGGTGTAATAAGGTCTTAAACTTTTACCCGAATGTATTAAAAAGCTACACCATTACTAGTAGTACTACTAAACTCATATTTGAAGAATAAAATGGGACTGAGTGTTGTGTAAGGATGCATTTCAGTCTTGCTAATTTTTAGAAATAGAGTGGTATAAAATTTCAGGAAAAAAAATAAAATAAAAAATAAAACCAAATTTCCAACAAAAGTCACATTTTTTAAACAAAATGCAAATCTTGTAAAAGTTCTATTCATTTTCCCTCATGCAATGATCTAGGCCGGTAGGCAACATCCTTGTTAATAATACATAGTGATATCTTGCTAAACAAGTATTTCTATTAAAAAGAAAAATACCATACAGAATATAGTTCAGCCAAAATGTGAGGTAGAATGGGCCTTGACGACCAATGACCAAGTTGTTCCTGAGCGTATAACAACACTACACTATTTTCACTAAAATGGCTATTAAAAGGAGGATACATTTCAGTCTGGATAATTTTTGAAAATAGAGTGCAATAAAGTATAATATATAATACTTAGAAGAAAAAAAAAATTCCCAACAAGGCCTCACCAGTGATCACAATTACAATCAAATTTTACATCTTATAAAAATCGGTCCTCATACATGCCAAAATGTAGGCTAGGTCACATTCTTGTTATTACATGTAATAAACATTGACATATTGCAAAACAAGTATTTCTATAAAATATACTATATATACGTCAGCCAAAAGTGAGGAAGAATACATGTAGGCCTTGAACTTGTACCCCAAAAATATACCAAAAACAAATGAACTATTTCTATACTTGCATGAAATTTTGTATCAATAGGAATGTCCATTGTGTGAAGACGTAATTAAAGGGAATATACAACATTTGCTTTTGCTGTCATTTTCAGAAATGGATGGATTTTTTTTGGGGGGGGGGGGTAGTATTTTATAGCAATATTGTTACACTGACCTGTTTAAAGATTTGGGTTTATAGATGCTTGAAAAAAAACAAGAAAAAAAATGCTGTTCTTGTAGTCTGGTTCCCGACCCTACTTCAGACAAAACGGAACAATTTATAGACATCAGGAAATTGTTAGGTCAGGGAACCAGACTAGCTGGCTTGCACCCATTCAAAGATGTGTTACCGATTGCAAACAAAATGTGGATGAACTACATTTGGTAAATTGGGGGCTGTATTACAAAACAGTCAGTTTTTTCCCAACGATGGTCAGCTGACCATCATTGGAAATTGATACAAAAATTTGTTTGCAAATGTTGTATATTGCCTTTAAAGGGAATGTACAACATTTGCTTTTGCTGCAATTTTCAGAAATAAATGGATTTGGAGGATTAGCATGTTATAGCAAAAATTGTTAAACTGACTTGTTTCACGTTTTGGGCTTGTAGATGATGGAAAAACCAAGAAAACCAATCATGTTCTTGTAGTCTGGTTCCCTGACCCCATTTAAGATTAAACAGAGCAATTTATAGACTGGGAAAATTGTAGGGTCAGAGAATCAGTCTTGTCAAACAGTTGCAAAGTAAATGCGGAATAACTAAATATGAAAAATTAGGAGCAGTTTTTGAAAAAAAGCCAGTTTTCTCCAACGCTGGTCAGCCGACCAGCGTTGAAAAATACAAGTTTTCTTGAAAATGTCAGCTCACCAGGAGCCACGATTTTAATGGATGCTTTGGACTGTCATTCCCTAACAATATAGTGAGATATTTCGTGATAATTTGATCATTTCTTTTTTGATGTTTGCAAATGTTGTATTTTCCCTTTAAGTCTGAATAACTTTTTAGAAATACAGTACTTTAAAATTTCAAAAGCAGGTTAAGGCACATCTTGTCCAATTTCTGCTGCGTATTACCGACTACGAATAAAATTATTTCAGATACATAAAGCACCAAACCTACACCTTAAATGTGTGGCCCTTTTTATCGCGTACAAGTAAAAGTGCTGTTAACGTTTGGTCTAAAATCTTCTAAAAATCAGGCATTCCTGGTAAAAGATTTCCTTTTGTGTACAAGTAAAAGTGCCGTTAGTATACAGTGTTCCAATGAGATATTTCCAAATAAAATAAAAATCAACAATTTGTAACCGTTTTTTTTTTCATAACATATAAAGAACCTATCATCATAGGTTTTGCACTTCAACAAAACCAAATTAAAAACAAAGATATTTTCAACAAATTGCAACCGTTTGTGTGGCCTTTGTCACTTTATAAAGTTTCATAAAATATAGATGAACCTATAGATGATCATAGGTTTTGTGCATTAACTAGTCAAACTTGACAAAAACCAGTGTTGTAGTATGGACTCTCCTCAGTGTCCAACTTGAGTTTTGATATCAAAATTGCTTGAGTTACGGTGAGCCACATGTTCGTACGTGACTCAAAAACACTCAAGTCCTTAAAAATTGAAGAGAAATGAGTGCAGTGACTATGTACAGGGTGAGTAAAAATAAAAAGGAACCCAAATGTTGGGACCATTGAATTAAGGAAGTTCTGCATGTAGCATTTTCAAAATCTGGGACATGGAAGCCCAATTCATAAGCTTTCTTTTAGTACAAGAATCATTCAAATCACTCGTGTACTTTTCAAGTTACGGAATTTTAAACACAACCTCCGTTTTAAGGTCCTGTCCACGGATCGCAAAAGAAGTTCAGTGTTCTTTCAGCAAAACGAAAACACATCACAAAGGGATGTGTGTGAGTTGTTTTCGTTTTGCTGAAAGAACGCACACCTTTTCTGTGATCTGTGGACAGAGCCTTCAAACGGTGGTTGTGTCTAAAATTCCGTAACTTGAAAAGTACATGAGTGATTTGAATGATTCTTGTACTAAAAAAAAAGCTTATGAATTGGGCTTGCATATCCTAGATTTTGAAAATGCTACATGCAGAACTTCCCTAAAACAATGGTCCCAACATTTGGGTTTCGTGTTTTTTGACTCATCCTGAATATCATTTCACAAACTTAACATTAAGTTAAAGTCATGACAGCTGGCTTGTGCTTGTGAATATTCATTATGTCATGGAACCCGGCCTCGTAATGACTATCAGTACATAAGTGAGCATCCCTGAAACAGTCTGTACAACACTAGCAACGACAAAGTTAGATCAGCTTCTTTCTAAAAATATAGACCAAGCCTCAGTTTTGTAATACAACAGTAAAAAGAATGATCTGAACCCATTAGCAACCGTATTATACAGTGTTATCATTCACTGACATTCCATCAAACCACAGGCTTTCAAGCAGACCCAAGTGAAAAAGTACAAGAACAGTTGGACATGTTGCACTTGCATCGTGGTTATAGAAATTCTTTGCTGTAGCAACAACTTATCATAGCTCCTTGATGCATCATAAGTCCTACCATGGATCGTTGGTCTCGACCGGTTTCTTGCATGAAAATGACACCACGGTTTCTTGTCATGCCAAGCCAGCGTCTCTGGCCATCTTGTAGAAGATACCGCCAGCCTGCAGGAGTTGCGTAGGCTCATCAAACTCGGCTATCTCACCCCCGTCCAGCACCAGTATCCTGCCAAAAGAGAAAGTACTGCATAATATTTCAACGTATTTGTGAAATTTGAACCTTTGTAGAAATGTGCACAAACTGCCAATGGGAGACTTTTGAGACGTTGGTGGCAGCAAACACACCGGTCTTTTTTCAATTGTTTGCGTCATGTTTAAAGCTAGAGTCCATCATTTGCAGCCATCCAAAAAGTAACTGGCGTAATTATTGTTGAAAAACAAACTTGGTTGAAAGATAGTAAGGGAACTAAACTCCCTGTGAAATTATTCTTTCTGGGAAGCTGTCATTTTGAAGTAATCAACGAAAGAAGGCATTTCCAACGGTGATTCTTAAGAAGCACCGTAGGAAAATTTAAATTAGTAGTTCGTTTTGTTATTCAGCGCAGCGCGCACAAGTATTGGAACGACGCACATGCGCGCGCGGTTGTTGTCATTCGTCGGATCAGTGTGCGACGTCGCGCATAGCTGCAATTCAAAACAATTCAAAACATGATTCCGTAACTTTTGATTTGAAATTGAGATCTTAGAATGCTGTTTTTCTCGGAATGTACAGCTGAAGCTGAGCTGAAACTTCATCAGGTTAGTTGCTCAGTATCCTTCATTAGATTTTGAACTCTTTTGTTGCTTCAAACGAACAAAATGCACAAATTACAAATGATGGACTGTAGCTTTAAGCTGAAGCGCGCATGCTCAATATGACACAAACAATGGAAACAGGACCGGTGTGTTTGCTGCCACCAACGTCTCCCATTGAGGAATTCACATGATGTCACAGGTCAGTGGTCACCCATGCGCCAGCTATATCAGCCTCGACTCCAGGGGCGCGTGCTCGTTCCTTACACTAACCCCTGGCTGTGATGATGACGCTGAATGGCTATTCACAGCGTACTGCGCTCGCGCTTGCGTGCCTAGCTTTGCACGTATCGTCACGTACGAAAAAAAAATTACGATTCAAAAGTCGCGATGCCTGTACGATATGGATTATGTCAGCCGCGTTTTTCACTAAAAAAAAACCCTGTATCTGTGGTTGTAAAGGCACGAAAGGGGTACGTACATTTAATACAAATCTTTGCTAATTACCACAACATCCAAACGTTGTGTTTGAAAGGATTGATTCTTCAAAATCACAACTTTTAACATTTTAAAGATGGCGTCGGCACGTAAAACGGATAAACTGCAGCCCTAATTATAATGTACCGTATTTTGGCACATTTAAATTACACAATTCCAGGGGTTACGATCGCGCAAGGCATGATAGGAAACAATATGGCGCTGCAAGATCGTACCCACGGGGCACGAGGTTGCCGCTATATGGACCTCTACGGTTGAAGACTAGTAAATAAACTGCCATAGTTCCCAGTGATGAATATGCCTTCGTCTGAAATTCATAAAAAATATTCACAACCCTCCAAGGTGTTTGAGACACGCATCAAATTAAAGCTTATTCCATCATATTTCATTTTCTGTTCAATGTTTGGGGGGTTAACCATTGACTTTTGGGAGAAAAATCAAAAATCGGAACTACCGCAGAACATGCATGTTACGCATAATGCAATGTACATGTACTGAATGATCGATCGATCAAGCACGTTAGACGTCCAACATGGCGGATCTTGCACCGTTCACGTGATAATGTCACGTGGATGCAAAACCTCAATTCTGAGACTTTTGAACAAAAACACTATTTTATCCTGTAGTCAGTTTGGCCTTGCCGGGATTCTGGACCTGTTGAATCTTCTCGCATGCAAGGGCGGATCCAGGGGGGGGGGGGGCCCAAAGGGGGCCATGGCCCCCCCCCCCAAACGAAACCAATTTTTTTTTTTTTTATGTGACATTGCAAAAAAGGCAGGCAATGAGTACACCACCATCTTTTCCTCAAAAAAACATTGGTTAAAGTGGCCAGAAATTGCCTCAGATTGCACCACAGAGCATCTAGAATCCAAAAATGTTTCGGGGCCCTTAAGCGGGCCCCGAACCCCACGCCGTAATTTTTTGGACCCACTTTTTTGGAGGACCAAAATTTTTTTGGGCCCCCCCCAAAACTGTGTTCTGGATCCGCCCTTGCTCGCATGTTTCTCACTTTGAGAAAAGTTGCATGTTGTTGTGTTGAAAAGGGTTTTTAGACCAAACCTGGAGGGCATAGTTTATGGAAAAGACGATTGCACATGTTGCACAGCACATGTGTTTATAGTGTGTGTGTGCAGATTGTTCAAAACAGCACTGCGTCTTGACCTCCAGATTCCGACCATACAGCGGGTGCCTTCTATCAGGTCTTCGGTAACCCGTTGTATCACACACAAAAACATGGCAGCAAATTGACCAATCAGCAGCTTAGGCTGAACTTTTGCTTGAAATAACGTCACAATTTGGCTGTTGCCGGAGGTCTCATAAAATTTTAACGCACACATATAAACAGACGTTTACAGAGCACACGGGCCTGCTCTGTTAAAGGGAATGTACATCATTGGCTTTTGTTGTAATTTTCAGAAATGAACTTATTTGAGGGGTTAGTATAATAGATCAAATATTGTTTAATTGACATGTTTTAAGTTTTGTGTTCGAAAATGCTTGAAAAACCACGAAAAACAAAAATGTTTAAGTAGTCTGGTTCCCTGACTCCACTAAAGATAAAATTGATCAATTTATAAAAATTGAAGGTAAGGAAACCAGTCTAGCTGGCCTGCACCCGTTCATGAACATGTAACCAATAGCAAACAAAATTTGGACTGAAAAAAACTGTAAATTTGGAGCAGTAGTTGAAAAATAGTTAGGTTTTTCCAACGGAGGTCGGCCGACCACCGTTGGAAATATATACAAAAATACCATTTTCTTGAAAATGACTTGACACCAGGTGCCATAATTTTACAGGATGCTTTAGACTGTCATTTATCAACATCCTAGTAAGGTATTTCGTAAAAACTGGTAGTTTTATTCTTCGATGTTTGCAAATGTTGTATATTCCCTTTAATGGATGATAATCAGACTACCCAGAGCGTCAGGGCCAAGCCAATATCCTCAGCCTACCTCGTGCTGTCCATGATGGTGTTGAGTCTGTGCGCTATGGTGATGACCGTGCAATCAGCAAACTCGGTGCGTATCGTGGCCTGGATGAGATCGTCTGTTTCTAGATCCACGGCAGCCGTGGCCTCATCCAGGACAAGAATCTTGGTCTTGCGGAGCAAGGCGCGAGCCAGGCAGATCAGCTGCCGCTGTCCAAGGCTGGAAAATAAGACAAGACAAGACAAGCTCAATAAAGCTGTCTGAGAGGGCACCAGATTCTATTAAATTGATTCTATTAAATTGATTAAATTGACTTTTTATTCACTGGAAGTCTTTTCATGCATCTGGGCCCAATTTGATAGCGCTTGCTTATCAGTTTATAGCAGAAAAGTTGTGCTTACTGAAGCAGAAAATCATTCAATTCAATTCAATTCAATTCATTTATTGTCCATTTAAAAGATAAAAATGGAAAATTTACATGTCTAAACATTGATGATGAAAGCTCCAAAACAGAACACTTAAAAATACAGTTATAATGATTAAACTAGATTTACACATACAATTTTACAGCGAAAAAAAATGTATTAAAAATTTTAAGATAAACCGTCAAAAATAGACAAAAGGCCTTAAAACCTTCAAACCATTCAAGTGTAACCAAACCAACAAAGAAATTAAAACCGAGTAACCAACAGATCACCCGCGCCCCTATCGCTGCATTGACCCCCTTTCCATTGATTAGAACACAAAATTATCTTACAACATTTTAAACTGTATAGAGACTGATGAAAGATAAGTTAAACACACATTAAGAACCAATCAAAAACACCACATTCGCCAAAACTGCCCAAACCACCGCCGCCCCCACAAGCCTCAGGATAAAAATAATCAGTAAAAACACATTAAGAATCATTACAGACTCTTACTGACAAAGGCACAAATGAATTAAGATAGCGTGTGGTCCTACATTGGATGCTTCGGAGTCTTTTCCCTGACCTCATGAAATAATAATAATGGTGCAAGGGATGCTGCTGTTTAAGCACTACTTCATAGCGTGGATGTGCTAACGGTTGCACGCGCATGGGCCTTTAGGGAATTTAAGCCCTGGTTATCAGTTATTCCTCAATCCCACAAAATCCTCCATAACCTAAAGGAATTTGAAGGATCTGACTGGGTTAGAATTAAAACGACAGCAATTACAACCAACCAACTGACCTGAGGTTGTCCCCTCCCTCCGTGCACTCGTACTCCAGCTTCTTCGACAGTCGCGACACAAATGCGTGCAGGTGAGAGTGTCGCAGGGCATCCCACAATTCCTCATCCGAATACTGACCAAAGGGGTCAAGGTTCATGCGCAGGGTACCAGCGAACAGCACCGGGTCCTGTTGGAGGCAAATAAAAATGATGCCCTGTACTAGCATGAACAGTAAAACTTGTGTACGAATATTGACCTTTCTTTTGTTACAGAACCCTTTTGAATGCGCTGACACAAGGGCATAAATGTAAGTCGTGGTTGGCAACAGACTTTGCCAAAAATTGCATATTAATACTCTCGTTATGTAAGAAAGAGGTGTTTTTATTAAAATAATCAATTAAAGCATTTATTGATTATTTTGTATTTTCAACAATTCAATGATATGTTTTTATGTATTAATCATTATCATCATCATCTAGCGGTTGCAACCGAGATCTCTTTCACAACGTCACGCTAGGTGTCTTTATCCCTCATTATGTACGGAAGGTCTTCAATTTCACATTGAGTGTCTCTGCCAATCACATCAATGTAGTTGAAAGGTCTTCGTCCTCTGTTAGGGCATGTATTTATAACTATTCTTTGTTTTTGCAACGTTGGCCTTCCATAGTTTTGCCAACCTGGGTTGGCAAAGAAAGGTCTATAGTACAAATATTTGATTGCTAACAAAAACGGAGTTCAAAGGGACTCAAACGCATTGCTGCCGTACGTCTAGTGCTATGAGTTTTGTGCACAATCAGAATAACATTATTTCGCACCATCACGAACCAAACAGTGCACACACCAAATACGTCCATGGAGGTCGTGCGAATGGTCACCAAGCACCATTATTCTGTCTGCACCGAGTCCATAGTAAAGCTAGGACGTCTGACTTCGTCTTCAGGCTCCAGTTTTGTAAATGTAAGGATCCTGCAGCCGATTTCATGAAACACCCCATAACTTACGCGATAGCCGACAATCGATTCCATGAAACTTTGAGTAGCCTGTGAGCTGAATTCGGGCGATTCACAATGCAGTGCGCCACCAAGAGTTTGCCACGGAGAGTTAGTTTTTCCCAGTGCATTGTGGGGGATGGTCGACAAATTCGCAGCGCGGGACATTTGAAATTGTTAGTTTTTCCGGCCAGAGAGTTTGTAAAAGTATGATTCGAATTTATGTTTGCCCTCATCTTTTCTTTTTTTATCAATATGGAGTTTTTTGTAAGGCGGCAGAACGCTATGCCCCAATCTATAACAAATTAGCTCAAGTTTTCTACTGACACTCGTTCAAATGGGCCATGCTTTGTCGACCGTCAACTTGAAAACTGCCCTCACCATGGCAAACTCTTGGTGGCGCACTGCATTGTGAATTGCTCGTATTGGGACTGGATGGCCTATGATGGACTTGTGATGATGCTCTGGTCGCCATCAGTCTCCTGATGATGGTGTTCTGTTCATCATCAGTTTCCTGATGACGAACAGAGCACACTGTTCGAAACGTCGAGTTAAACCAACTGGTTCTTCTCAGAAACCACACAACTCACAAAAAGATATCATTCACAGGGTGTTACCGCAAACCTCCCATTAACTGGGGCACGTTTTGGCGCTGGGACCGTAAACATGTTTCTGGTTCGCGGCCGTTTCGGCGCTTCGGTTACACTGAAATGACGTCATTGTTGCGACCAAAGTTGAACCGAGATTTCCGGTCGGTTCACTTATGTTTCAAGATGGCGGAAAGGCAAACAAGCTTAGCAGACGACGTTACCTTTTACAATAAATGGGGTTTAAATAGTGGGTTTTTACCTTCAATTTGTACGAAAGTTGATACAGAATATCAGGCCTACTCTTTTTAGAACTTTAGGGAAACGCTATAAAAAACCTCCCACTTTTGCTTTGAATGTTATTGTTAATCATATCCGGTCGCCGCGTGATTTGTTGGGGGGTTGTGTGCAGTCACGTAGGCAGTAACATGACGTCATGAACAATTTGGTCAGTCGTTTTCGCGGTGCACAGGAAACATGTTTCAGGTCACGGCTGTGACGTCAGAAACATGTTCCAGTTCAAGGGCCGCCAAAACGTGCTCCTGGTCAAGTCCACCACGCAAACCTTTTTGTCTCATTTACTTGGGATGGCATGCGACCTATCAAAAGAACCTCGACTACAACATTGCCAGATAAGCACTAAAAAGCAATCATCAGCTCCCCCTGATCTTACCTGTGGAATGATAGTGATGCGTGATCTGAGATCGTGTAGTCCAATGGTTGAGATGTCCACGTCGTCTATCCTGATGGAGCCGCCAGCAGCTTCCAGGATTCGGAACAAGGACAGCGTCAGGGAGGACTTCCCGGCCCCGGTCCTTCCCACGATGCCGATCTGTGGGGAAGGGTCAATTGTTACACGCCACAGGCATCACTCATTTTCTCAAACTTTTATCCGAAATCAGACTGATTGAATCTGGGAGAACGACACTATCAGTGTAGACGATGTGACATTTGTTTACAAAATAGGGTTTTTGTGGTTACGTGATGCCAATTTTCAGCAAATAGTTCACTTCTGCACTGCATGTCTATGTTTGGAAAGGTGAATGGTTTAAAAGTGTTGACATATACCGTTGAACGTGGGCCAAATCACATGAAAAACACGCCTTAGGCCAAAAAAAAAAGTCTCCGGTTTCTGGTATGCGCGCGCGTCGCCGTAGCCATGCGCGTCGGCAAAATGAAAAAGTTTTTTTTTTCAATACAAGATGATGTCTCAAAACCGCCAAACTCACTGGTTTGACTGGAATCCTGCTGCTGCTGCACAATTTTCACGTGTTTTTAGATTGGGTCATGATCGAGAATAAGCTTTATGTGGCCTCTCTGGACTCCCATATATTTGCACTAAGTTTAGTCGGGCACCATTTGCAGTCATCAGCCGACATTTGAAGCCAAAAAAAAAAAAAAAAAACAGGTTAAAAAAAAAAAAAAAGCCGCGTCGCCGCACCACTTTTGGGGCAAGCTCCATACCAGAAACCAGAGACTTTTTTTTTGTGGCCTTACAGTTTGGGTTGCCTGGTGGTTGCGGTCAGCATGATGTCACAGGGCACACGGTCGATAGAAAGAATGCATCTTCCAAACCCTTCATCCAATTTTCAGACTTTTTGAAATGGACAATATAATCATCCCATATCAATAAGGTGCCGAGTCCTGGTTTTTATTTTTGGTTTGGGGCTTAATAAATGTCCTCAGAGTGTGATCACGTTTTCCACTCAATCTCAGACCGACCAACCTTCTCTTTGGCCTTGAAGACACAGGAGATTTGCCTGAGTGCGAGGTCCAGTCCGACCCGATAGCGCACGCAGTAGTCGTCCATCTCCACGCGGCCCCTAGCAGGCCAGTTCTTGTCTGGTCTGTTGTCTTCAACTATAGCTGTTGCCTGCACAGAGAAAACAAGAAACGAGAGCTTCTATTTGGACAAAGGCTCAGAAAAGGTATTAACCAGTTCGTGCTGGAGGCCATGTATGTATACCTGCAGAAGTTTTGCGGTATTCGGAACGGATGACAGATTACATGGAGCGAAGTCAGTAATATCTGTCAGCCACCGGCTCGCAGCGAGCGAGGCTGGAAATATGAGTGTGCTGCCCGAGGGTGATGGCTTCAACCCGCCTGGCTCGAGTTCGAGTGAAAAGTAATCCCACACCTCGTTCCGTTCTGGTCAAAATAATCCCAGCGTGAACTGGTTAACAGCGCACTCTCTCCTTCTTAGCTGTCAAAAACATCAGGTGTAAGTGCTTCTAGCAGCTTTCCGAGTTAGGGCCTGTAAACTCGGAAAAACTACAGTACTTCTAGCAGTACACTCTAATCTTGTTAATCCCTTTGTCAACAAACTGGCCCGTTATCAGATACTGCTGCTAATCCCCTGCACCTGTCAATATCAGCTGTGTGACAGCACATGTGGCCTTATTACACTAAGTGTTAGGGATTATAAAGCCACTGTTTGGACAAAGGATTAAGACAGATTAGAGGGCTGGCCAGTTTACAGTTAGAGTGACTGTTTTCACTCAGAAGTTTCTAGTGGAGGTTACTCGCAATGAAATGTCAACAACAGACTAGTACAATACAGAGAGAAGTGTCCTTTTAAGCCCAACTCTCTCAGAATTTCAAAATCCGCTCCTGAATGTTGCCTTTGCTTTTATGTTTTTCGAAGTCCAGTCATTTCCGCATTCATCCTTACCTCCGTTTTGACGCGTGTGTATTCCGTGATGCGTTCCACAGCAACAATATTGGCTTCCAGATCGCATGTGACGTGTACGAGCCATGTCAACGCTCCAGTTATCTACATCAAACATATCAAAGATAAGAACAAGGAATTACTTCTAACACACTATTATTACATCGCCTTAAAAGAAATTCTGGATTTCGCCAAAATCCAAAGACTGTGCAGTAACCCGATAGGCACATTCTTTGCATTTGTGTGTGTACTGTCAGTGGTATTGGAGGCCTTGAGGTTGCAGCTTGTACGAGAACTTTTTGATTCCACATTTACACCATTTTGTTTTCCTTTTTGGGTGTTTTGTTTTTCCAGATACAATGGTTCAAATCTCTAAGTTTGAGTAAGCCAGAATTGGTTAGGGCTAGGATTCAAATTTCAAGGAAAAAAGAAATTTGGTACAGGTTTTTAAACTTGGTCATTCTCATCTTAAGTCAGAAAAGAAAAAAAGTTGACTTTTACCAGTAATGCGTAGGATACGGACAGACCCACAATGCCTGAGCTGATGTAGTCTCGACCAATCACGGCAAAGAGTGCGGCAAAGAAGACCAGCAAGTTGCCCAGGAACTCCAGACGCAGTGACATCCATCTGGGGGAGGTTTGTAAAAATGGGCGAATACAAATTCCAGTTAGGCCATAAACAATCTTCAAACAGACGTGTTTAGTCAAGCACCAGTGAATTACAACTCAATCATGAGTCAGACCTGATGTCAAGTAAAAAAAATAAACAGAGGAGGAACAATAACGCGGGAAATGCCGTTGTCTCAGTACGATCACTTCAAGTGAAGCTTCATAATTTTAACCCATACTATGTAACAATCATTTGTCAAAGGGTGCATTCAATTAGCTTATCAGGTTGACTCGGGTAAAGGCAGACGGGTTAGCCACCAAAGCCCTACTAATCGAACGCTCAAAACGCAGGCCGTCATGATCCTCACGTGATGTCCGCAGCCATTGACATAACACCCTTTTTAGAGTGAGTCTTACTTTGAGATTTTCTTCTTTTCCGCAAAATGTAACATAGTTGGGCTGGAGTTATAGCCGCTAAAGTCGCAAAGAGCTCAATAGATATTTACATTTAGACTTCAAATAAAGTTGCTTTTTGGGGTCCACTTGAGATTTCTGCTGTTGGCCGCCATATTTGTCTGTTTCTTGGAATGAACAACGCATGTGTGTGACGTATTTCCACCACTGACTCTGCACCATGAGCAGGGTCTGAGGTGGCTGACCCGGGTGAGCCCCGAGAATGACTTCAGAGCTAATCCAATGGCACGGGGCTAAATCGACCTGGTTTACCTGTTGGACACTATGTTGGGATAGTACGTCAACTGGTTGTTGTCGACCAGATGCTCGTTGTGATGGATGAAGCGCTCGGAGCGGCGGTAGGCGCGGATGGAACTGGTTCCGGCAATGGTCTCCGAGAAGTGGGAATAGATGGGGGATCTGGTCACGGACTCCAGCCGCTTCAGCTGCCGCGATGTGGCAATGTAGAATCTCTGTTTAAAGTCAGAACAAAACACGAGAATATTCAACTTTGCAAAGAAAATGGCATTTCTTTTACAGTTTAAAAGGTATTGCAAAACTTGCAGTGTTTCTATTCAACTCTAAACACTCCTTATGTTCCCTGCAAGAAATTATAACTCAATGACCCACAAATTTGTGTGTAAAGACAAATCAAAAGATAATTCTCCCGAAGACGGTCAGAGCATACTGACCGGAACGTCGAGTTTATACCTCTGGTTCTTTTCAGAACCATTATTTTAGTTGAGAAATTATTCGTACATGGTGTTTCCGCAAACCTTTCATTATTTAGTATCTCCACCATGCAAAGCCTCAAATCTTACTGATAATTTGTTTGTTTTATCTATACAGCTGTTGCGGTTCAAATGCTGACACAGCCAATTGTTGAAAGGAATGCTTGAGAAGTCTTCAAAAATAATAAGTTACAATTATTTTTAAGAGGCTTCTTGCCCTATTTCACTTTTAGTCTCCGAAACGTACAGAGGCATGCAGGCAGGCAGGCACGATTTGACCCGGGATTAACAAGATACCAATCCACTGCACATGCCCGCAACAGCCTGTGCACCCAGTCGTAATTTACTATACTCCCGAGGACAATGCAGTGTGTCCCTTTGTCCTTGTGTTTTACTATACTCCCGAGGACAATGCTGTGTGTTCCCCTTTGTCCTTGTGTTTTACTTTACTCCCGAGGACAATGCAGTTTTTCCCTTTGTCCTTGTGTTTTACTATACTCCCGAGGACAATGCAGTGTGTTTCCCTTTGTCCTTGTGTTTTACTATACTCCCGAGGACAATGCTGTGTGTTCCCCTTTGTCCTTGTGTTTTATTTTACTCCCGAGGACAATGCAGTGTGTTTCCCTTTGTCCTTGTGTTTTACTATACTCCCGAGGACAATGCAGTGTGTTTCCCCTTGTCCTTGTGTTTTACTTTACTCCCGAGGACAATGCAGTGTGTTTCCCTTTGTCCTTGTGTTTTACTATACTCCCGAGGACAATGCTGTGTGTTCCCCTTTGTCCCTGTGATATAACACTCTCCCATAGACTAAGCACGTAACCATACCATAGAGGACCGTTTTCAACACAAGACGCAACGCCCGTGGACACAAAGGATCTTTTGTTCTCCCTTTGTCCCTTTGTCGGGGAGTATGTAGTACATGTACGCCTGGGCCTATTCTGTGTCACACTGCATGTTCCGAATGCACAGCTCATACATAAATGCACTCATGTGGAACTTTGGTAGGATTGCACAACCACGGCTTTCAATGTATTGTTACCAGGTCGAAAAGACAAATGAAAATAATCCTACAAGCTTCTATAAACAGGTGCTATTCCAAGCAAACTTCACCTGGACTAAGAAGTACACAATTATTGTCGGCACGACGATGGCGCAAAACACGGGAGTGCTCCAGGTGATGATGATCAAGGTGGCTATGATTCGGATGGAGGCCGCTAGGTACGCGGCCAGGTTGTTGGGGATGACGTCATCGATGGTATGGGTGTCCTTACTGAAGCGGTTCAGGATCCGGCCCATGGGGGTGGTGTCAAAGAAGGACATGGGGGCGCGGAGGACGTTGCAGAGCAGGTGCTGGTAGAGGGAGCGGGCAGCTCGGAGGACACCGAAGGATAAGGTGAAGGAGGCTAGCAGCAACATGATGCCTGGAACGAACAAAAAAAGGAAGCTTTTTTGATTTTTAAATGACTGTCTAAGGCCAAAAAAAAAAAAAAGTCTCCGGTTTCTGGTATGGAGCTTGCCCAAAAAGTGGTGCGGTGACGCGGCTTTTTTTTTTTTTTTACCTGATTTTTTTGCTTCAAATGTCGGCTGATGACTGCAAATGGTGCCCGACTAAACTTAGTGCAAATATATGGGAGTCCAGAGAGGCCACATAAAGCTTATTGTCGACCATAACCCAATCTAAAAGCACGTTAAAATTGTGCAGCAGCAGGATTCCAATCAAACCAGTGAGTTTGGTGGTTTTGAGACATCATCTTTCATTGAAAAAAACCTTTTTCATTTTGCCGACGCGCATGGCTACGGCGACGCGTGCGCATACCAGAAACCGGAGACTTTTTTTTTGGCCTAAAAAAATACGGATTCAATTATCTGGGTTGTAATCTAGTCTGGGGAGGGGGGGGGGGGTGATAATGGCACAACTGTTTTGTTATATCATGGCATGATTTTTTTATAAATTTAATGAGTCTTTAAGATGAAACAATATGATGATAAAAATCATCGTATTGTGGAGTGTCATGGCCGAGCAGTTAAGAGCACCAGACTCAAGCTCTGCTGTTTCTGATCAGCAGAGTGTGGGTTCGAGTCCCGGTCTTGACACTTGTGTCCTTAAGCAAGACACTAAACCATTATTGCTTCGTCCTTCGGATGGGATGTAAAGCCGTAGGTCCCGTGTGTTGTGTAATGCATGTTAAAGAACCCAGTAACACTTGTCGCTAAAGAGAAGGGGTTTGCCCCGGTGTTTCTGGCAGTGGCTGCTTAATGCGCCGCAGCAGTTTGAAAATCCTTATCAGGTGCTACATAAAACGGGTCTGATATTTCAAATACTTCATTTACCTGTCTTCAAATTAAATTCGTATTAATTAGCGCCTTGAGTACCTAATTGTTGGTAGATATGTGCGCTACATGTATATAAGACTCGGTATTATTTTTTTTATTATAAAACTGTCATTTTTGTAAAGACATGACGTTTTTTTCCCAGTTTTTATTCCCCTATGAATTTTGATTGAGCAGTCTAAATCTTTGGTCTTCGATAATTTGCCAAGCAAATGGATCCATGTTGACGCGTGCATGCCCCAGGTAACATCACCAACAATGTGCGCAGGGTCTATTCTAGCTGTGTTGTACAAGGCAGCAAGGATTAAAAAATTATTAAAAGTCTTGAGAAAGATGAAAGTTGATGTTCCCAGGTAACATGAGGTGATGTACTCCGTGGATTTCCTCAGTAAGTCCACAGAGCTAGGACCCAAGGAGTCAGAACTCTTGGGCAATTTACATTTCGACCATTAACTATCCAATCCCTCGAGAATGTCCATAGCTAAAGCACTGTAACCACAAGCCTGGACCATTCATTGTGTGACTGCAAGCGGCCTTTGAACACGATGATTGCCGCCGCCTTTTTAGTTGGTAACCGACAACCTCCCTATATGCTGCAAAATGAGTCTGTCACATCGCTGCTCTTTTTTGAAAAATACATTTTACGACAAAATGGGTTTTAAAAACTGCGCAGTTATTAGATGTGAGTTATGAATTCGAGTTATTGATGTGCAGTTGTTGGTCCTTGAAAGCGCTACGTGTCCCTGTAATTTGAAGATAAATTGGAGTTTTTTTCCAGATAAGTTATCATGTCTTTTCAGACATTTTAATTGGCAATATATCATTTATGAAATGTGATTTTTGGGAAATTTCACAACTTTTCATACTAAAGGTATAGAGCATTTTGTTCGTCATGAAATGATTGTTTCAGTGATGTTGACCACATTGATTTAGAGTATAATCTCGGAAGTAGTCTGAAGGGCCTTATAGCTTTAAGGTGTAATCTGCAACTTTGTGAGCATCATCTGTTGCATAAAAATGTCCATAAATGTGAAATCTGTTTCGGTTTTCCATGTAGTCTGCTTTTCATTTTGAAAATTCCCCACAAACCTTTTTGCCACCATTGTCTGAGAAGTTACTAAGTAATTTGTACAGTTTGTAACTGGTACCCGATCCCATAACCTGGAACCGGTTCCTGACATCAACGGTCGGGTACTTGGGTACCAGGTAACAATGCACACCCGTAAAGACATTTTGACAAACGTCAACATTTCTTGACAAATAAAATTGTACCAAATAATACCATGGAATAACAAAACCGCTTGATATGGACATACCTTGTGCGACCCCCAGCGCACCATACACCCCCAGGTAACGGTCTCGCACCTCCGCAGGCTGTGTGCCGTTGATTGGAGTCTCATTACTCCACTTGCTCAGCCAGACATTGGACAGAACCGAGGCAAGATTGAACAGGACAAAGAACAGAATGACGAACATGAAGACTACGGTACTCAGAGCATTGATGTAGGCTTTGAAGACCGCCAACTGGACCTGAATTGGACAAAAAAATGCATAAGACAAGAAACACAATAAATGGGGCCACTTATCTACCGTCACGTTAGCAGGTTTTTCCAACAGTTGTGATTTTTTTGGTTCAATACCTGAAACCACCAAAGAAGAATTTCAACACATGAATGGACATGCAACCTTTTGCTTAAGATGCTTTGAGTTGATTACTTATACTGCTTTTTGACATTATCCTCAAATTTCCATCAAAAAGTGGACGGAAAACTTAGGTAACTTTTTCCGTCCATTTTTGATGGAAATTTGAGGGTGATTTTAAAAATTAAAAAAGAAAGAAAGAAATGATTCAACACATATTACATGTATTATAAGCATACATGTACATGTCCATTCACATTTCAAAAACTTTTTGGTTGGTTTCAGGTACGGTAAAAAGAAAAAAATACAACCATTTGAAAACTGCTAACGTGACGACTGCAAAGTGGCCCCCTTTATTGTGTATCTTGTTATAACGCTTTTCACAAAACGACTGAACCGAGTCCTTAATGAGAGCACGTGGGTTAGAAGTAAACCATTCAAAAAGGACCAAAAAAAGTTTGTACGCCAAATTTCCACTGTGCAATAATGATACGAAACCACAACTTTTCAAAGTATCAGTTCAGTTGTGTGTTAATCTATGCAGGGTGAGTCAAAAAAAGCGAAACCCAAATGTCTGGACAATTGTTGCTGCATGTAGCACTTTGAAAATCTAGGATATGAAAGCCCAACTCATAAGCTTTCTTTTAGTACAAGAATCATTCAAATCGCCATGCTTTGTTGCGCAGCAGCACTGTTGCGCAATACACTTATGAACAATTTCATGAAACTTGGCGTAGCTGCACAACGTTTTTTGATAATATTCTAAACATCTTGGACGAGGAAAATAAAGGCATTTATGACAGCTGTTTATGTATGATTATGTTGTCCGACTTTCTTCGGAATCGTGCAGCAACTCTTAACATTCTGTCAAGTGTGAAATTACAGCTCGTTATTAATCTCAAAACACAAAACTGTGAGTGTGCTGTATCAACTTGATAAGTTGTGTAATGACAGGTTACGCGACAATTACGGGTTGCTAGGAAACTAAGTCATTTTCAGTCGCTACGCCACAACCTATGCCACCTAAAATGATTTCGCGAGTTACACCATAATTTGTTGCTCAATTCGCCGACATACGCACTATGAAACTTTCATGAAGTGTGTCGCAACCGAAATATGGGGCAGTGTACGCACTTACGCGATAAATTGCAAGTGCAGTTACACCACTACGTAAATTTCTGTGAAATCGGCTGTAGGGGAGCATTACTCTGTTGCTAGTGGGCTGTAACTGGGGCCATAACTGCAAACTTTGTTTTTCAGGGTACACTGAAAAACCAAAGACTGCTTTATATACAGCTTAAAGGGAATGTACATCATTTGCTTTTGCTGTAATTTTCAGAAATGAACTATTTGGGGGGTTAGTATATTAGATCACATATTGTTACACTGACATTTTTGAAGTTTTGTGTTCGAAAATGCTTGAAAAACCAAGAAAAAAAACCAAACAAGTAGTCTGGTTCCCTGACTCCACTAAAGATGAAATGGATCACAAATGCCGGAAAAAAATATTGTAAGGTAAGGGAACCAGTCTTGCTGACCTACACCCGTTCATGAACATGGAGAAGCAAACAAAATTTGGACAGAAAAAAAAACGTACATTTAAAGCAGTAGTTGAAATATAGTTAGGTTTTTCCAACGGTGGTCGGCCGACCACCGTTGGAAATGTATACAAAAGTACAATTTTTTCTTGAAAATGACTTCACACCAGGTGCCTCAACTTTACAGGATGCTTTAGACTGTCATTTACCAACATCCCAGTAAGGTATTTCGTAACAACTTGGTAGTTTTATTTTCCGATGTTTGCAAATGTTGTATTTTCCCTTTAAACCTGAATCAAAAGCCGTCAAAACTCCAGGAGTCGCACTGAAGTACATTTAGAATGGTTGTCAGTCTCATGACTTACAGTGCCGGTTTCGGAGGTCTCCTCTTCTATCAACGTATCGCCATCCTCTGCCTTGGCCATGGTCTGCTTGCCTCTCTCATCAGGTGTCTTCTCCTCGGGGAATGACCTAGGCTCATGAGTGATCACATCTCCCGAGATGGAGCCCATCCTGGACAGAGGAGGGAGGGGTCATATGTTTTCATGCTGGTAACAATACAATCAGGTGTGGACAACACCCTGTTTATGGTTCCTATTATTAGTCCCACATGTTATGTTTGTTTAACAAGTTAACACTGGAGGATGCGTAAACAAGATCTGATACACCGTGCCCTCTGGAGACATGCACACAACAGGGAACACAAGATTGTATACGTCTCCACAGGGCAATTTCTATAGATGAATACGTCTCGACAAGGTTTTTACGAAATAGATATGGATTTTACTCAAAAACTAGGAATTTCCAAGGTATGTTGATCTGTCGCAAATGGTAGAGTTTTAGAAAAGGGATATTAAGTCCGAATTTAACTCTGGTTAAAATAAGAGCATTTTGAAACTGTACTTTCAAACTTGAAAACTTTACTACACGAGAACAAAGAAATGTCTCCACAAGGATACACATTTCAGTATGTATGATCTGGTAATGTTTATAACACCTCACCCGCAGATTCTGTGTCTTGATTGGCAGAGAGCGAGTCACATGGTACTTTTTATTTTTGCTATATTTCTGTGCACGGCCAAAGTACTATACCCATAGCAACCAAAGTACTACACCATTAGCAACCAAAGTACTATTCCATGGCGCGGTATTTGTGTGCGAATGCATGCTGGTGTGCGCATTGAGCGTTGCGCATATTGTTCCCAAGAGCCAGCGAAACAGTGTTTGGTTCAAACAATTCGTGAAGGGGTGGTTTGGATGAGAGAAATACATTTTCCATCAATTTTGTATCAAAAAAAGTTCACTGTAACTGTATTGAGATTTAAATAAAGTTAAAATATTAAAACCAAGCGATATTGACTACTTTATCTCGTGGTGCAGTAAAACTAGCTTCCCTCGGTGATCCATGGTGCATTCTATTTTCCCGCAGCTACGCCTCAGGAAAATAGAATGTCCATGGATCACCTCAGGAGGCTAGTAGTACTACACCACTTGAAGCATTAAATATTTGTATAACATTCGCAGGGGCAGGTGACAGGTTTAATTGTCAAGCTTTCCCCGAGTCTCCGGCGATGGACATAAATACACTTCAGTGGTTCCCGTTGGTTTTGTACACACCGTGTTTTGAACTTGAACTTGGCCATTTTACACAGCCTTTCGGCATGGCAAAAGTCTCGCTCCGCAGCGGGGCCTCAGAGTGTTGCACAATATGAAGTTACGGTGAGAACAAAAATATTGTACAAATGCCTCTTAAGAGTCAGTAATCGTGGTGTTTGACTTAATTAAACATTTTGACAATATATCTTGTCTTTTCCAAAAATGGTGTTTTTTGGCAAAAAAATAATCCCGGCGGCAAGTGATTAAATGGCTGAGAATTCTATGAATCCTTTTTTTTGTACATCAAAACAAGCTTTCTTTTGACAAAGGCAAATCTGGGGGTTCATAAGGTATCACCCGACAACTACAAAGAAGATAGCAGGACATATTGTCTGGAATGAAGAAATGGCCATGTGCTTTATAATCCCCTTCCCTTTGCCAAATATCTGAGCATATGAAGAACCCAGAGTTCTCTTACTTGATAGACTCAGCAAGTTTCTGGCTCTGGTCCGCTTCTGATAGCATGGCGATGGAGCTGGTGGCCTCCTCATTCAACGTCGCCATCTGCTCAGATAAGGATGGATCTACGGGCAAAAGATACAGGAGTCAAGAGAAAACAGCCAATACAATGTAGACTTTATCCAACTACTAAAATTTGCTGACTGATGTCCATTTGTGACGTATTTATACCTGTGCAATAGCAACGCGCCAACGCTTCTAGTCAATAGTCCTGGCTCCCTGTTGCGCTTTATGATGCGCGCGGCTATTGGTAACCAGCTCTGGTTGAAACTAGTCGACAAGAAGAAGTCCAATCGTCGTTCATTCAAGTAAAGTTAATCGAACTATGGTTGACTATGGGCTCCGTGCACAAGTACCCCTTCAACGGCCAGAAAGAGAGAGATGGGGGAGACCTAGACTGGTTCCCGATCCATCCACTGCGTATTTCAAATGATCCAAAGTTATTGGGGGAGGGGATAGTCTAGGAGACCATCGCAAGTTAAATTTGAACGAAGTTGCGTGCCAACGACGCCTGGCGCTTACGCGAAGACGCTGTGGCTAATAGCTTTAGCACATTCAGGTAGTCGTGCGTACTTCGCGCGTGAACCAGTACAGTACAGTACGCACGTGCCCTCTTTTGTTGGCCCACTGAGCCCATAGTTCAGAGCCCATAGTTCACACCTGAACTTGCTCTACGCTGTAAGGGTTTTCTTTTCATAACTCATACCTCTGATGTCTTTTCTCTCATCATCCAACGCTCCGTTACTGTAGTTCCGCAGGAATTCGGCGAAGGCCTGGTTGCATGAGAGCAGCTCCTCGTAGGAACCGGCCTCTGTGATCTCCCCATCCACCAAGACGACGATGTGATCAACTTGAGGCAGGAAGCTGATGCCGTGAGTGACTAGAACCCGCGTCTTGTTCTTGAGGAGTCCCTTAGGCCCGAGCACCTTGTCAAAGATGTGCTTGCCAACGTGGGAGTCCACGGCACTCAAGGGATCATCTAGGAGATAGATGTCGGCATCGTTGTAGACGGCCCGCGCCAGGCTGACACGTTGTTTCTGACCACCGCTAAGGTTGATTCCCTGGTCAAGCGTAATGACAAGTAATATTCAAATAAAACACATTCAATTCTGCACGTCTATGGTCGCCATGCTCGAGTTTCTCAATGTTGAAAAAGAGATATGAGATGCACCATGTCAATGCCATCTTTCCTGCGGTTAAGAGCAGTTAGGCCACATGCAATCAATCCATATGTACATGTATGTGTACATGCATTCACAGTTTCATATTTAGCAGAAACCGTGCCACTGGTTCCCGCCTCCTGGATACAGTTTCATACAGAACGATAATGGAGGGACTGGAAAGCAGTCTGCACACCTACCATTTTATATAAGTGACTCATTTTTGCAACAGGCAGCATGTGTGAACCAGTCTCTAGTGAAACCCGCATGAGTGTCCTCCCAACAGAGTGAAAGGAGAACATCGGTTTTTGTAATGAATGCAAATTTGAGCCCGAAAAATGCTGTTTCTCAGATAATAACCGGAGAATTTAACTTAAGTAACAGCATAAGCCAGTTCGGTATTTCAATGACCCGGGGTCATTCGGGATAACATCGCTGACGTGATGTTACGCGGTATTACGCGCACGCCCATTCTGCTGGTAATTTACATGTAAGCGTCGTGCGCCCACGTTCATGCGCCTTTGAAACGTTCGATTATCCCAAATGAACCATGACCATTATCACTGTGCACATGCGCAGTCGAAATACCGAGCTGGCTTATTACATGGTATATATCAAGACTGATACAGTAGGCATGGTAGGGAAGATATCGTATTGACACTAATGCAGCACACTCCCCGACCCTCCAAAATCCACCAGAAATTTTTGAAAGATTTTGCAGGAAGGTACAGCTCGTTATTATCAACCTCAGGCAAAACTGCCTGGAGATATAGAATAATGAACTAAAACAAACACAAAGAATGACCAACCAACAGACGGCCTCACCTTTTCCCCGATTTCCGTCAGGTCCCCACCGGGAAGCATGTCCAGGTCTGGTACCAAGGCACAGGCCTCAATCACCGTCTGGTACCTGTCCTCCTCCAGTGCTTTACCAAAGGTGATGTTGTCCCTCAGGGTGGCGTTCTGGATCCAGGCCTGTTGGGGCACATAGGCGACCGAACCCTGAAAGCAACACAACAAAATTAAAGGTAGGGCATCTGCACTAGAAAGCAGGAGGTTGTGGGTTCGAGTCCCACCCGAGTGATTTTTTCCAACTTTCACTCGGGAGGAAACACACTGAGTATACAGTGTTTACACGTCGGTGAAGGGCAAAACCTAATTTGATTCACAACAAAACTGGTAACAAAGCTGTGGGCACGTTCGATCATTGGCCATTGGTCAACTTGTCGTTGGTTTCTTCACTTATGTTGCAATACAACCTTGATAGCATATTCCCAAAGAGCCACCTAGTCCGAATAAAACATCAAAGTAAACAACCACAAGAAAACACTGGGATATATCAACAAAACAAAAGAACTACAAATTCGTCACAAAAAAAAAGCCTAGGAAGCACTCAAAAAATTAAAACACTGAAACCAACACTGACACCCAGTTTTATTTAAAACTTATTATATGGGTTACCGAAGTGAATACGTCACGCGAAAAACATGTGTGTGAAAGACATTTAAGCGCGTGATTCAGCCTGAGGAACCAAAACACGCGCGTACTCCATTCGTTTGCACTACACTTTCTGATTCTAAATGACGTCACACTTCGGTACGCCATTATGTGGATTTTTTGGGGGGGAAAACTCGATTATTTTTAGAAATTACATGACTTTATAATCATTCCAAATTTCACAAAAATCTGTCAATGCCCTCCCATGATCCTGGGGAGGTGTGAGTACAATCCACCTGCTTTGAAAACAAATACATCGACTCTTAAGTCCTATCAGAGTGATTACTTCAGAGAGACAACAAGCCTCTGTAGTAATGACGTCACACTTTGTTTACATGTGCACTTTCCTATGGAGCCAGTGGGGGCCCACAGTCCACTGAGCACCGTAGGAAAGCACACACGTAAGCAAAGTGTGACGTCATTAGTACAGAGGCTTATTGCTGTACCTTCACAGCGACTGATCCTTGTAGTTTGTCCATCTCTCCTAGTAGAGCTGACAGCATGGAGGATTTACCCGCTCCCACCTGGCCTACGACGGCAACAAGATGCTCATCCTTGATCTTAAGATTGATGCTGAAAACAAATCAAATTAAAAGAAAAATAACATAAAGGCCCAAAAAATACAATATTCAGTCTCTGGTCAGACCAAAGTTCCGGAATTGACGCGGCCACGCGTTTTTTTTTTTTCGTTTTTTTTTTTTTTTTTTTTCAAGCTTGGATTGTACAGACAAGGTGGGGTACTATTTTGCTTTTTTGGTGTCCTCATAATAATAATAATAAACCATTCTTATAAAGCGCATTTTACACGGGGTCCCAATGCGCTGAACAATTAACAGAGGAAAAAAATACTAACATTATATTTCATTTGCAGTGAACAGATGGGTTTTAAGATGTACATTGGTGTCCTCCAAGCTTTCGATCATTTGCCTTGGTGCAATTTCCCATTCCTTGGTGCTCTTTGGTAAAAAAAAATTGAGGAGGTGCAGAAATAGAGGACGCTGTTGGAGCTACCGAGGAACATTTTGGGAAAAAAAAGATCGACGCGCATGATTAAAATCGACGTGCGCGCTGACCAGAGACCGACTTATTTTTATTTTTTTTGCCTAATAGATTTAATTGTACATTTATGTTATTCTTAAATGAAAGAGAGGGTGATTATGTGTGTGGATATGCAGGGCGAGTAAAACAAACCGAAACCCAAATGTCGGGACCACTGTTTTAGTGAAATTTTGCATGTAGCACTTTCTAGGATAAAAAGTTTATAAGTCATAAGCTTTCTTTGAGTACAAAAATTATTCAAATCACTCACATACTTTTTAAGTTACGGAATTTCGAACACAAACACCGTTTTAAAGTTCTGTCCACGGATCACAAAAAAGGCAAGTGTTCTTTCATTTAAACGAAAACAATTCACGTGCATTCCTATGAGAATTGTTTTCGTTTTGCTGAAAGAACACTTACTTTTTTGTGATCCGTGGACAGAACTTTAAAACGGTGTAAAAATTCAGTAACTTGAAAAGTACATGAGTGATTTGAATGATTCTTGTACTAAAAGAAAGCTTAATGACTGGGCTTTCATAACCTAGATTTTGAAAGTGCTACAGGCAAAACTTCATTCAAAAATTAGTCCTGCCATTTGGGTTGCTTTTTTTTTAAACTCGCCCTGTAGAGCGCCGGAACCCTGCAGAAGCCATGTCGGATTCTTGCTGACGTGAAAGGGGTTTCTGAACTCTCAGTTTTGGACCCATGTCCAAGAAAGAGATTTGAAATAGAGTGAAAAGCCACCGAGGTACTGCACAGCAGTCAATTTTGGCGGATTGTAGAAAGTTCCAACTTTCCCGAAACACTAAGAGCGGTAAAAGTTGACTGGTAGGCTGAACTTACTTTCTCAGAATTGGACTTTCATCTTTGGACCACGAGAATTCACCGTTCTCCACCAAAACAGCCTGGCCTGGGTAAAAATTAACACAGAGGATGAGCGGAGGAATCGAGCAATAAAAGAATACACATCTGAGGTGGCAGACAGGCAGGAAAACAGCTCAGCATCTCATTTGCTGTGCTTCGCATCTTTTCATTTTTGCCAACGTCATTTTTGAACAAGCAACTTAGCCTGTGTCTTCTCATAGCGTCTGTGGAGACATCGTCACTGATATTTTCCACAAGAAAATACAGTCGTAGGAAAGTTGCATTTTCCTCAAGAAAGTTGTAAAAATTCACAGGCTTTTACAAAAGCAGGATTTGGAACAAGAACCTGCTTGACATAACCAGATACAGATATTTCAACAACTACATAAAAAGTGACATATAATAGAGTCAATAAACATTAAATATAAACATTTGTAAATAACCCAAGACAGTTTACCCATTCCTAATGGTCGAGAGCCCGTCACGTGGCCAATTTTTAATCGGTCGATAAATTTACATGGCTGGCCGGTCTTAAACACTTTTTCAGTGTCACATGAAATTTGGACTCCTGTGAAATCCGGTGCGAGCACCATTTTATTGGTTGACAGTTTACAAACCTCACAAAATCATGCAAAATACTACCAGTGAGTCAGAATTTTATAGCCCTAAATTCACTAAACCGGTAAATCTGTTTTGTGCGCCACGTCACGCAGTACTCGCGTCAATCTCCATAATAGGAGTCGTTTACCAGAGGGCCATACCATTGTTTAGCTAGAGGGGTGTGTTGATAATTACCAGAGGTGAAAATTGTCAGCATCCAGACTCCGACCGGTATTAAACCAGAGTGTTTAAACACCTCCTTATCCCACATTTATTCCCTGAGTAATTAAGATAAAGTTATGAACAGATCCAATTTTCTGTACGCACCAATTTCTCTCGTTTGGGATGAAACGTTGGACAGATCCAGTTCGTCACTCTTGAGGAAGCTCTGTATTCGCTTCACCGACACACTTGCCTGAAAATTAGGAACCAAACCTTAGTTATGATAATAATAACAAATAATAATTTGGGGGGCTAATCATCCTTACTCACAGCAGACGCTGAATTGCGAAGGACGCGGCTCTGCAACATGGTCGAACCAAAGGCATGTAAAGGCGCCTAAGGCAGCCGCCATATGACCCATGTCTGACCACACAGCAAGATTGAAAGTGTTTATTTTTGCGGCGGGAGGAAAACCTGAGAGCCCGGAGAAAAACTCTCATGGCACAGGAGAGAATCTACGAACAACTCTACTCACGTGTGACCCCTGCCAGGAATCGAACCCAGGCCACAGCGGTGAGAAGCGAGCATTTTACGCACTACGCCACCCATGCTATGTTATTTTTTATGTTATAACACCTCACCCACAGATTCTGTGTCTTGATTGGCCGAGAGCGAGTCACATGTTACTTTCTAATTTTGCTATCTTTCTGTGCACGGCTAAAAGTACTATACCCGTAGCAACCAAAGTACTATACCATTAGCAACCAAAGTACTATTTCCACGGCGCGGTATTTGTGTGCAAATGGATGCTTGTGTGCGCGCGCGTAGCGCGTATTGTTCCAAAAAGAGTGCGCCGCAGACTTTGGTTCAAACATTTCGTGAAGGGGTAGTTTGGAAGAGAGAAATACATTTTCCACCAATTTTGTATTGAAATTAAAGTTTATTTCAACTGTGTTCAGATTTAAATAATTTAAAATATTAAAATCAAGCAGAATCTGTGGGTGAAGTGTTATAAAACAAATATTGAATGCTTTATCTCGTGGTGAAGTAAAACTAGCCTCCCTCGGTGATCCATGGAGCATTCTATTTTCCCTCGGCTTCGCCTCGGGAAAATAGAATGTCCATGGATCACCTCGGGAGGCTAGTTTTACTACACCACTCGAAGCATTCAATATTTGTATACTATTTTATATGAAATATAACATATCAAATACCATGCATTAATGGATGTCTGTCCATAGGCAAGACACTTTACAGCAATAAAACAGATTCATAGTACACTGCATCATCAAGCATTTTCCTCAACAGATGACACTTCTCACATATATGCGCTTCATTGTTAACATGCCGTACCACATAGGCAAAGGTGGATACAGATGTCATTTCAATAAATACCGGTAGCCATTCCTGTTTTTATAGACCACGTGCTTTGTGATGACGTCATGCTGACAGCAACCGCCGGGCAACCCACACATTCAGGCATGTTTTGCATGTTATTTGGCCCTCATTAAACAGTACAGCGCGTCCCAAAATACCCGCAATTTTTTTTTTGGCGAGGCTCTAGCGTCGTCGTGGAAACATGTCCTGCCATTATTTTGATATCATATCATTTTAAAGCTTGGAATCTGAACTTTTTCCCTGGCGAGTATTGGTTTGATATAAAGGGATTAAGATAAGATTCTTGTTAAACTTTAAAATGATACAAAATTAATGTTTCCGGTTGATGCGGGTATTTTGGGACGTGCTGTATATGCCAACACTTTCACATAATTTATGTTTGTTCAAAGTAAAACAAAGAAATTGACTAGAGCTGGGTTTGAACCTGCGACCTCCGGATTGCCGTTCCAGTGCTCAACCAACTGAGCTATCCAGCCCTATGTTGGCAGTTCCCCAATTTTGTCAATGACTTTGTTCAAGTCGCGCTAGTCAGAATCGGTATCGTAATTTCTTCGAACGGTGGGAGACATCGGTCATTAGGGAGACATTTTCATGTCTCCCTAATGTCACAGCCTCCCTTTAGAGGCACACTTTTTTTTGTCGCAATTAGGTTATATTTGTTGCCCGTGGTCTAATCAGTAAACATACCGAAATTCATGGAAAAAGGACAACGGAATATTGGGTTAGGGCACATTTAAGTTTGAAAAAACTTGTGCACAAGTCTATGGGGATGTCTCCCAAATGTCCAATCCAGGGTAGTTATAATTATTATTATTATTAACTTGTGACTAACTTGTGATTTTCGTATGATGGTTTGTAAATGGCTTGAGATTGACGTGCAAGTGTCTTTGAGATTTGCATATGATTGGCTTGAGATTGACTTGTGTTGAACTAGTGATTTTCTTGCGATTGACTTGCGATTGACTCCATAAGAACCAACTGTCACACCAGAACAAATTTAGGAATGGAGGCGTTAATGGTGCCTACCTGAATGACTTGTGAGATGGCACCAGGCAACATGGCCAGGGGCATGCGGAGGACATTGAAGAGAGCCAGGGAGACGAAGGCCTTCTCAGCATCTAAGATGTTACTCTCGTCAGCGTTGACGTAGATGGCAAAGGTGGATAACAAGACCTAAATAGATGGACAATCAGAAACATACATGTATGCCACAACAATCCAGCAGTAGAGGGCGAGTAAAAAACCGAAACCCAAAGTTCGGGACTATTGTTTTAGTGAAGTTCTGCATGTAGCACTCTTAAAATACAGGATATGAAATCCCAATTCATAAGCTTTCTTTAAGTACAAGAATCTTTCAAATCACTTACTTTTCACACTACAAAATTCCACCGTTTTAAAGTTCTGTCCACGGATCACAAAAAAAGGTGTGCATTCTTTCAGCAAAACGAAAACAATTAACACACATCCCTATGTGACTTGTTTTCGTTTTGCTGTAAGAACACGTACATTTTTGTGATCCATGGACAGAACTTTAAAACTGTGGTTGTTTTTAAAATTCTGTAACTTGAAAGTTACATGAGTGATTTGAATGATTCCTGTACTAAAAGAAGGATTATGAATTGGGCTTTCATATCCTAGATTTTGAAAGTGCTACATGCAGAACTTCATTCAAACAATGGTCCCGACATTTGGGTTTCGGTTTTTTGCACTCACCAAGTATAATTTCATGAGCACCGTACACTCAGTGTTGTCTGAAGGCTTGCAAGGAAACAATTTCAAATTCACAAGCTTACTTGGGTAGGACTTGAACCAAGGACCTCCTGATTTACTAGTGCAGACTTCAGGCACGCAACTGGGTATTGAGACACAACGAGGAAACTCCAAACCACACAAGACTTTGTACAGTACTATTCAATTTGTAATGACATTCATGAGAAGTTAAAAAAAAACGAGGAAATCAGTGGAACAGAGGAAAAGTTACATGCCTGAGACTTCTTACCATTGACACCACAGAGGTTGCAGGGGTTGGTTGGCTGGTCGACTCCAGTCCAACTGGAGTCACAATTTTTTGTGACTCGACTCGAGTCAAGTCGCTAAGGGTAAATGACGCGACTCGACTGGAGTCCCTCATCAGAAGACTTGATTCAAGCAAAGGCTAATAAGGCTAATAAGACTCGAGTCCCAAAAATAAAAGCGAAACTTTGCGAAAAAATATTTGCAATGACTTATGGATCAAAATTAATGTTCACGTCACTTTGCGAATATAGTACGGTACAGCGGCCACTTGTCATGTACAAACATACAATGTGTCACAGACTACCACCTCATGGTTCTGGAAGGCACAAAATACTATCCAGAAACCGGATTTAAACACGTTTTCCAATTCGTTGTTTCATCAGTGGCTTTTGGGCGATTTCTTATAAAGCTCTTGGATTCGAACACCAGCTAAATTGATGCCCTCCTATTTTTTTTCTACAATGCAATTTGACCCGATGCCAAAGCAGCTAGCGTATATAAGATCCAAGTTTCACTTCTTGTTAACTGTTAGTGATACAAATGACTTTATCTCTTGTCTTTATTTGTTATAGTGTTTAGATATTTGTGACTCGAATTGACTCTAGCTAAGTATTTGACTCGACTCGACTCGACTCGACCTTCTTGACCTAATGACTCGACTCGACTCAACTCGAGTCAATTCTTAAAAACTGACTCAACTCGACTTGAGTTACTTCTTTAAAGTGACCTGACTCGACTCGAGTCACATCTTCAAAATAACTCGACTCAACTCCAAGTCACAAAAAACAGGGACTTGTTACAACTCTGTTTATTCGGGACAGCCCTAGGTGCTAATAGGTTAATTGATCAGTAGAGAGGAAAATATCTAGATCACTGGTCTTATTCAGCCACAGAAAGCACTCCTAAGAACAAAGGGAAAATCACAAACACTGGAGTCTGTGACTGGACCAGTCAGTGTTTGGTACCATGGCATGCACATAAAAAAGTGAGACTTGCAAGCTCAGTTTCTCTGCTGAATGTTCTATGAAATTGGCCAGAGAGAGAGAGGACTCACAAAGAACGGAGCGCTGGTCCAGACAAAAGTCATGAAGGCACCGAGAACAGCCGCCTTGAGCATGATCCTGAGCTCCTGCTTACGGATGTCCATGACTTTGTCCTGGAAGGAGGTCTCCCAGGCGTACAGCTTCAGGACTTTGATGCCGTTCAGGACCTCGTTCATCAGCTTGATGCGCGCGTCTTTGGCCGCCATCTGCTGGGCCTGGGTTGCCACAAGTGGCGGGGAAAAAAAAGTAGAGCAATTCCACAAAAACCAAATTCAAAATAGGATGACATTTGATTCCTCAACAAGAGGGCTTGGCATTTCTGACCGACTCTGATCAATGACAACTATGAACTCTGCGTGCGAACAGTAGAGGGCACTTTGTGACCATTATTGGGTAAGTTTATTTAGCTCACCTGGGTCGACACGGGTCAGCCCCGTGCCGTTCCTTAGCTCTGACCTCATTCTTGGGGCTCACCCGGGTCATTTACCCCAGACCCTGCTCGTGGAGCGGAGTCAGTGGTGAAAATAAGTCACATGCATGCGTTGTTCATTCCAAGAAACGGAAAAAAAATGGCGGCCGGACAGCGGAAATGTCAAGTGGACTTAAAAATTAACATTATTTGAAGTCTAAAGGTATTCATTTATTGGGTTCATTGCGACCTTTGAGGCTATAATTCCAGCCCAACTTTTTTGAGTTTTGCAATTCACTGAAAAGCAGTAAATCTCAATCTAAAACCCAATCCGAAACGGGCGTTTTTGTCAGTGGCTACGGCCACGGCTAAGGGCGTCAGGTGAGGATCATGATGGCCCGCGGTTGAGCGTTCGATTAGCCCGGCTGTCGTGGCTAACACGTCTGCTTCTACCCGAGTCGATCCGGATGAGCTAATCGAATGCACCCTTTGCGAGCTCCAGTAGGGGAGACACAACAAGTGCGCAGACTCTAAACTATGCTTGACTAATTTCATTCCGAATGTGCATAAAGTTGCGCCATCTTTGCTTGAATGTCAGACGCCTTGGCAGTGCGATTACATGTCCCTCCCAGGGGTCTCCCCCAACTCTCTCTTCATGACCATTGAGGGGGTACTAGTGCAAGGAGTCTATACAAATACAGCACGGGTAGAGACGAAGGAGTGCAAAATTACTGGTCTTGAAGTATTGGCTGATTGTGAGTACTTCCCAATCCAAAGTATGTTGTATTTGTATATTGTATCTCGTAGATATTTAGCTTCAAAAATCCAAGAAAATTTTGAAATGTTCCTCTCTGGGACAGACTCCTAGGGAATGAAAATAATTATACCACTAAGGCAAAAAAAAAAAAAGTCGCTCTCTGGTCAGCGCGCGCGTAGATTTTAATCATGCGCGTCGATCTTTTTTTTCCCCAAAATGTTCCGCAGTAGCTCCAACAGCGCCCTCTATTTCCGCACCTCCTCAATTTTTTTTTACCAAAGAGCACCAAGGAATGGGAAATTGCACCAAGGCAAATGATCGAAAGCACCAAGGCAAATTATGGAGGACACCAATGTACATGAGGACACCAAAAAAGCAAAATAGTACCCACCTTGTCTGTACAATCCAAGCTTGAAGAAAGAAACCCCCCCCCCAAAAAAAGCCGCGTGGCCGCGTCAATTCTGAAACTTTGGTCTGACCAGAGACCGAATATATATTTTTTTTGGCCTAACAGACTTACCTAGGTTAACAAACTTAGTAATGGGTTTGGGAAGAAACCACAATATAGATTTACATGGGGCTGGATTCCCTTAAAAGTACAAAGAATAGTTGCCATGGTTTCTGAAGCAGTTGTGAATTTTGGAGGATTCAGGAAGGCAATGTACCTGGAATTTGCGGATTTTGACCGCGATGACCCCGTTGATCGGTATGAGCAGGATGGTGACAGCAAAGCCGGCCATGACCACGGGTCCCAGGACCTGCCAGAGCAGATAGAGGGCCAGGACCACCTGCAGCGGGGAGGCCCAGAGGGTGTTGATGAAGGTGCACAGGTCCATGCAGCGCTGGGCGTCTACGGACATCAGGTTGATGATCTCACCGGTCGTCGCCGAGCGCCGGGCCGAGTTGGACAGGAGTAAGGACTGTTGGGGATACCACACACATAAATACCAGCTGGGCCCAATTTCATAGAGCTGCTTAAGCACAAAATTTGCTTAAGCACAGAAAACATTGCTTAGTAAAATTAGGTTACCGGCCAAAACTCCATGTGATGTACATTGTTTGTGACTGGTATTTAGCTGTTGTTTACTTAGCATAACAATCGCATGGAGTTTTGGCCGGTAACATGATTTTATTAAGCAAGACGTTTTTGTGCTTAAGCAAATTTTGTGCTTAAGCAGCTCTATGAAATTGGCCCCAGACTGATATGAACCCTAACCACCCTGAATCCATCAAAATCCGTACCCATTTTGGAGTATTTTGGCGGATTCAGGATACTTCCATATTGCATACAGGGGGATTTTGATGGATTCAGGATTGTAAGCCTAGCTGTACTGCAGGATTTTGATGGATTCAGGATATCTCCGTACTGAGCAGTCACCAACACCAACATATTTTGCATGACACAAGAGGTGGATTCTGGCGGATTCAGGATACTTTCTAGTCAAGTGCGATAACAAGGATTGGAGTCTATGAGGTCATTGAGTAAGCTTGGGTAGCGCGAGTTAGATTTGAATCAGAATTTAAAAAGAATTCATTCTAAGTTTAGGATCATGACTCCACTGTTTCCAGGAATCAAATTCTTACAGAGGCCGCATAATTAGCAAATGAGGACAATGTCAGGACCAGGTCTGTGCATCTGAACCAGGCATCCACTGATGTCAGGAACCGGTTCCAGATTATGGGATCTGGTACCCGTAACCAACTTTACAAACTACTTAGTAACTAGTATTCTTTTCAAATTAATTCTATACATTTACAAAACACAACACTGTCTGGCTCCTTCCTACCTGACCGATTTACTCTCTTTGTATCAATCAGGTAGGGCGGGGCTTAAGTCTTCAACAGACACTTCCCGATTACATGTTCCTATTAACACTAAAACCACAGGTGACAAAGCTTTCTGGATTGCTGGCCCCAGGGAGTGGAACAAGATCCCTCAAAACATCCGACTTGCATCGGCAATCATCACCTTCAAGAAATCGCTCAAAACACATCTGTTTCTTTAATCAATTCACCTTCATCTTTACCTCTCATTATCCCCTGGTTCCCTTGAGTTATTCTTAAATTAAGTTTTTTGTTTTGTTTTTGTTTTTGCCTTGTTTATTTGTAGATTTGTAGTTTGTAGTTTTGTACAGCGCTTTGATCTTTGTTAAAAGCGCTTTATAAATGCTCCATTTATAGTAACTGCTCAGACAAGAAAAAAAAATATGGTTTCGAATGTCATTGGTGGGGACATTTCAAAACTGAAAACCAGGCTACATGGAAAAACAAAACCGATTTCATGTTTATGACGTTCCCAAAAGTTGCAGTTATCACCACAAAGCTATAAGCTCACTGTACACACTTGTATCTTGCTGCATTGAAGCACCGATGTGGTAGTTTTATTGCGTGGACCTTTATGTATATTCAACAGCAACTTCAGAAATTTGAATTTTTGGGTCGAGTTTCTTTAACGGGTACCCGGGTACCTTTTTTTTTTTAATCAGGTATCCGATTCCCATACTACCAGTATATGCACATCCCTAGAAAGAACACCAAGGATGTAAATCTTAGGTTACTGGCAAAAGTTTACATATTGCTGTCATCAAAACAAAATTTTCAATACATTTTTTCATCATGTAATATTCATCAACAAAAATGTGGCCTATTTTATCACCTTGCGATAGACAGCGCCTATGATGGCCGTGCGTAGCTGCATCCCAATGGTGGTGGTGATGTGAAAGTGCTGATGCTGCAGTATGGACTGCAGGAACGCCGCCGCGAAGATCAGAAATGCGTAGAGGTAGCCCTGCCAGCGTTGGATGCTCTTGTCTTCTGTGTAACGAATCAGTTGCCTGGAATAGGGATGAGCGAAGTAAATAATAATATTAAAGAGGTCGTGGAATGCTCGAAGACATTTCCGTCATTTTTCGGGTATATGTAGCCTAAGGTGTGATGAAATAAAAACGACTATTGTGTCTGTCATGAAATGAGAACATACGGTACTTTTGAGAGCTGTTTTTTTTCAGGTCCTGTTTCGACCCGAACGTGCAATTTGTGTAAAAGTCGTCGTTGGGGGCAGCAAACAAAACAAAGTAAATCGTGACGTAATAAACAGGACTCGTTTATGCTACTCTGCATCGGGAGTCCTGTTTATTACGTCACGATTTACTGTGTTTTGTTTGCTGCCCCCTACGACTCACCAAGTATGGCAAATGTAAAACTGCAGGTCTGGGTATGTGTTTAACTTGGATAAATGTAAGCTATAATAGCGATAAATAACACGACGATTGCAACTCACTTGAGCAGTTCTGGACTGGCAAACACCAGAACGTCCGTCACCAGCTTCAAGAGAGACCCGATCAGAAAAACGCCTCCAAAGGTTCGGAGGATTGCCTTGAGTAGGGAGGCGTTTGGACGGACTTCCGATGTCTGAAGAGTCACTGAGGGCTCGTCGGCCCAATCACCAGGGGTGTACCTGACTGAATCTGTGTGGACACGTAGCGTTCTCTGCTTCCTTTTGTGACCGGATGTATGCTTTGGATTTCTGTAGGGGTTGCAAAACAAACAAAAAAGACAAGAAAGCAGTTCACAACCAATCAATTCACTTTTGTTAATCTGGGAGGGAAAATGGAACCCTTTCCAAAAAAGCTACTTGATCGTTTTTTCGTTGTTGTAATTTCAAACATGTACACTCTATTGCCATCATGGGGGCCAAGTTCTGTTCTCGGAGCTTTTCATTGTTGTTACCTCCGTCAAGAGGATATTTTAGGATTTTTCCATCATGTGGAAAACTTTCACCTTGTGTGACCAGCTTTGTGTGCGTGGCTCTGACCCGGTGACCCTGTATGCCTTATCGCCCACCTATTAATCTAACCACACAGGTCAATGGACTAGACCATTTTATACAATCAGGGAGTGGCAAGGTAGACCAACACAGGCATATACATGTAAACTACAAAAAATTTGAGTTTAAGGATTTGTTTTAGAAACCACATTTGTGCATTGGTGCTGTGTGTAATGGCGGGATATTGTTTAGCCTTGGCGGAGGTGTGCGCTCTCTGAGTGCTCCCTGGTTCTGACTATTATCTTTATCGTGGCGGGAACCTGTTTACCGGTTCGTCACGCCCCATTTTGGTTTCATCGTAACACAATGTGCGGGCGAAGTTTTGATTCATCTATGGCTGTTTTGAATAGAGCAGACTACTGCTGAGTGCAAACCCTTCCACATGTGCATAATTGAATCCAGTGACTTGCCTTTCTTTGTCCCACTCCGTCAGGAATTTGGGCACCACTGTCCTGGCCTTGTCTCTGTCTAAGAGACTCCACAGATCCGTGGTGGTCAGGGCACGCTTGTAACCCTGTATAACCATGCTGGAATTTGTAGGAAAAAAAAACAAAACAAACAATTGTAAAGTTCTATATGGAAGTTTTTGCGATCTACAGACCTTTACCTGAGCATTGCACTTAAGGCTGTTATTCCATGAAAATATAATGTACTCAGTTGGTAAACCTGAAACTTCAGGAGACTGAAATCGTAAAATAAAATATTCATGTCCTAAAGAGTTGTTATATAACCCTGTTATTCTGAATCAGTTAACACAATATAATCCCAGGTTTTGCATTGTCTATATATTAAAATATACAAACCTCTGTCACCATGTAACCACCTATACAGAGACCGATACAGTGCTTACTGCAATTGTAAAACACTCAATGGCATCCATCAATCACATGCAATTTTTAGCCAGTGTGCTACCATATGTATGCAACTGTTTAGGGCTGTGCATCGGAACCGGGTACCCGAGTACCCGACCGTTAATGTCAGCATGGGCGTCGCCAGGATTTTTTCTAGAGGGGGGCCAAAAAAAAATTTGCCAAAAAATGCTTGTATTTCTCAACACATTCTCGATTTATCAGTTTTAGAGGGGGGCAGGGACATTTTGTCCCCCCCCCCCCCCAACTCATTAAATTTACACCACTTTGTCTTCGTGCCTCTTTTTGTTTTCTTTTTTTTTTTTTCTTTTTTTTGGTTGCTTTTCGGGGGGGGGGGCAAGTGCCCCCCTTGCCCCCCCCCCCCCCCTCGCGACGCCCATGAATGTCAGGAACCAGTTCCAGATTACAGAATTGGGTACCCGCAACCAACTTAACAAATTACTTAGTAACTACTCAGACAATGAAAAAGAAAGGTTTCGAATGTCATTTGCGGAGAATCTCAAAAATGAAACCAGGCTACATGGAAAAACAAAACTTATTTCACATTTATGACGCTTGTGAAAGTTGCAATTTACACCGTAAAGATGTAAAGCTCAATACACACTTGTATCTTGCTGTATTGGCGCACCGATGTGGCAGTATTAACGTGCGGACCTTTATGAACGATCTAAACAGCAAGTTCCGAGATTTGAATTTCGAGTTAGATTTCTTTCCACGACTGTTGACCAGCGAGGAAGGCAGCTTCAAATGGCACATGTCAAACTTGATTGGCAAGTTTCCAATATTGGAATCTTCGGTCAAGTGCAGTTTCGAATCATCAAATACTAAATTATTCGAAAATGGAACACAGCCCTAGATTCCACAGCATTTCTGCTGGGAAACTTCCTGTATCTTTAACATCCTCCACTGTACAGAAAACCAAATTGCACATTCTCTACATGTTTTAAGGTGCATCAAGCCCTGGATAGTTGCTGTTGCAAAATCCTGCAAAATCTTCACAAACGTTTGGGTTGATTTTTAAAGGATGTTGGCGGGTAAGGATTGAGGACTTTGAAACCATCTTCCACAAGTTTCAATAAGAACAGCTTTAAAACCCTAACCCTGCCAGACGCAGCACAGTGCATCAGGTGGAAAAGTCTGGTGCACTTTGATGGAAAATGCTACCAACACCAGTGCAGAAACCGGCCACTTCTGAGACACTGAGAGCTAGTCCCATGGAACAATGCCCGAGTTGTACCCTGCTGCAGTGGGTGACCACAGACTCTGAGGCAGTTTGGCCTTGAGACTTTTGACCTGATGGATCTTGCTACACTGGGCAGGCTTGTCACTTAGACAAGTGTTGCATGTTGCTGCGTTTGGCAGGGTTTCTAGCCAAAATACCCTGGAGGGTTAGGGTTTTAAATTAAGGGTGTAAAGAAATAAACAGAAATACTGACCTTGTAAACCACCAGAAAGTGAGCCTGGACAGGAAGGAGGCGGAGGCCTCAGGACACGGATTCTGCCAAAGATCAAAGAAATAACTAAAAATGATGACTGCTGAATCCTCAAATATTGGATGTTTGACCAATTATCAAAAGGGCCGTTCACACTAGCTGAAATCTTGATATCAGAGACCCCCCTTTCGCACTAGAGTCCAACACGGCTTCTACATTGGGTCTGGTGCTCTACATAAAACCGTGCTATGTCCAGTGCAGTTGGCAGAGAATTATCAGACCTTTCAAAACATTTTAAATTTGCCTGACTAACTCTCCTGTGGTTTGACCATTCAAAACACCTCAAAATCTGGGTTCTGGCAAATTGGAGGACAAAAAATGCAGGACCTTTTAAAATCCTCCAGAATTTATTGTTACTGCACTACCACACCTTTCAATTCCTTTCGAAAGGTATTGAAAGGCAACTTACTGAATTTGCCCACAGAGTTGCTTCACCTTCCGAAACCTTTCGAAAAGTTTCAAAGTTCCAGCACTATTTCACCTTTCAAAACCCTTTTAGTCAGGCAAATTTAAAATGTTTTGAAAGGTCTGATAATTCTCTGCCAACTGCACTGGGCATAGCAGGGCTAAAAGGGTTTTGAAAGGTGAAATAGTGCTGGAACTTTGAAACTTTTCGAAAGGTTTCGGAAGGTGAAGCAACTCTGTGGGCAAATTCAGTAAGTTGCCTGTCAATACCTTTCAAAAGGAATTGAAAGGTGTGGTAGTGCAGAAACAATAAATTCTGGAGGGTTTTAAAAGGTCCTGCATTTTTTGTCCTCCAATTTGCCAGAACCCAGATTTTGAGGTGTTTTGAATGGTCTAACTACAGGAGAGTTAAGCCCAAGTCACACATTCACGGTTTCGAGCTACGGATCTCCACGGTTTGAAATTCGTGATAAACCGTGGGAGTACCGTATTCATCCTTAGTTCATCCGTGGTTATCCGTCATCTTCCTTGGGTATTCGTGGAGGGGCAACGGAAGTTTTAAACTGCTCATAACTTCCGTGGTGAACTGTCATGAAAATTAATCCATAGTGCAACCGTGGGACATCCGTAGGACAACCGTATTTATTCATAGTGTTATTCGTGGCTATTCGTGCATATTCGTGGAGATTCGTAGCTCATTCGTGGTAGAAATCTCTACGAATTTGCTACGAATGTCCTACGGATATGCCCGGATGTGCTAGGGTTCTGCTGAGGTTGTACTACGAATGTGCCGTAGCAGAACCTTGGTCATCCTTGGCCCAATCGCACACAACCGTGGCGTTAACGTCATTATTCTTAGTGATACCGTCGATATTCTTCAACAATCTGTCTATATTCTTGACAAACCGTGGTGTATTCGTAGAGAAACCTTAGGACAGTCGTGGCTATCCGTCCTGAAACCGTAGAGCATTCTTAGAAAGTCGATTTCTCCACGAATCTCGACGGTTCATCTTGATCGATTGATTGTTGGTAAACCGTGGATATTCGTAGCTCCAACCGTGAATGTGTGACTTGGGCTTTAGTATAATCAAACCCTGGTCAGGACCAGGGTTAAGAGGCTCTACCCGGGTAGCAAATCCAAACTCTACAGCCGACCCGTGTACGCACCAGGTAAGTGTGAACGGTACGCCTTGCCGACACGTGCTCGACGGGACCCAGTTCTGCTAACGACGGATTGATTTCAACACGGGTAGCTGAGACGATAGTGTGAAAAGGCCTTAATATTCAAACCTTCTTGCATTTTCAGAATAACTTTTATAATTGAAACAATATTGAATTAGGTGGAAAGAGAGAAGGAAAAAATGTTGCAACCTGACGCCACTTCAGCGGTTGTGTACAAAGTCTTTGGAGAGTCAAGAAAATTTTCCAGAGTATTTCCGAACAAAATTGGAAATATTTCTCGGTCCACGATTCATGTCTTATCATTTTTGCAATGACTGGCACTCCAACTGGACTTTTCTAGTTCACTCGGCTTCGCCTCGTGAAATGGAAACGTCCAGATTTTACCTTGCGATAATAATCCTCACATTTCAGTCCGAGCCACTCAATATTTGTGTAATATCACACTGTTGTTGCTCAAAAGTTCGCACGCGGTGCCTAGACGTTTTCCATAGCCAGCATCATCGAAAAAGTCAGTTTTTCACCCAAAAATCAAACTTCACCAAAATTGCTCAAAAGTTCACACGCGGTGCATAGAGGCAAGAATAAAATTCCCTGAAGAGTTCAACTCATTACATTCAGTATCCAGCGAGAAAAGAAAACTTTTTGATTTTTTACGAAATGCCCCCAAAACTTCAACGTTTTCCATAGCCGGCATCATCGAAAAAGTCAGTTTTTCACCCAAATATCAAACTTCACCAAAATTGCTCAAAAGTTCACACGCGGTGCATAGAGGCAAGAATTAAATTCCCTGAAGAGTTCAACTCATTACATTCAGTATCCAGCGAGAAAAGACAACTTTTTGATTTTTTACAAAATGCCCCCAAAACTTCAACATTTTCCATAGCCGGCATCATCGAAAAAGTCAGTTTTTCACCCAAAAATCAAACATCACCAAAATTGCTCAAAAGTTCACACGCGGTGCCTAGAGGCCAGAATTGAATTCCCTGAAGAGTTCAACTCATTACATTCAGTATCCAGTGAGAAAAGACAACTTTTAGATTTTTTATAAAATGCACCCAAAACTTCAACGTTTTCCATAGCCGGCATCATCGAAAAAGTCAGTTTTTCACCCAAAAATCCAACTTCACCAAAATTGCTCAATAGTTCACACGAGGTGCCAAAGGGCCAGAATTGAATTCCCTGAAGAGTTCAACTCATTAAATTCAGTATCCAGTGAGAAAAGACAAATTTTAGATTTTTTACAAAATGCCCCAAAACTACAACGTTTTCCATAGCCGGCATCATCGAAAAAGTCATTTTTTCACCCAAAAATCCAACATCACCAAAATTGCTCAAAAGTTCACACGAGGTGCCTAGAGGCCAGAATTGAATTCCCTAAAGAGTTCAACTCATTACCTTCAGTATCCAGTGACAAAAGACAACTTTTAGAATCTTTATAAAATGCACCCAGAACTTCAACGTTTTCCATAGCCGGCATCATCGAAAAAGTCAGTTTTTCACCCAAAAATCCAACATCACCAAAATTTCTCAAAAGTTCACACGAGGTGCCTAGAGGCCAGAATTGAATTCCCTGAAGAGTTCAACCCATTACATTCAGTATCCAGTGAGAAAAGACATCTTTTAGAATTTTATAAAACACCCCCAAAACTTCAACGTTTTCCATAGCCGGCATCATCGAAAAAGTCAGTTTTTCACCCAAAAATCCAACATCACCAAAATTGCTCAAAAGTTCACACGAGGTGCCTAGAGGCCAGAATTGAATTCCCTGAAGAGTTCAACTCATTACGTTCAGTATCCAGTGAGAAAAGACAACTTTTAGATTTTTTACAAAATGCCCCAAAACTTCAACGTTTTCCATAGCCGGCATCATCGAAAAAGTCAGTTTTTCACCCAAAAATCCAACATCTCCAAAATTGCTCAAAAGTTCACACGAGGTGCCTAGAGGCCAGAATTGAATTCCCTGAAGAGTTCAACTCATTACGTTCAGTATCCAGTGAGAAAAGACAACTTTTAGATTTTTAACAAAATGCCCCAAAACTTCAACGTTTTCCATAGCCGGCATCATCGAAAAAGTCAGTTTTTCACCCAAAAATCCAACATCACCAAAATTGCTCAAAAGTTCACACGAGGTGCCTAGAGGCCAGAATTGAATTCCCTGAAGAGTTCAACTCATTATGTTCAGTATCCAGTAAGAAAAGACAACTTTTAGATTTTTTACAAAATGACCCAAAACTTCAACGTTTTCCATAGCCGGCATCATCGAAAAAGTCAGTTTTTCACCCAAAAATCCAACATCCCCAAAATTGCTCAAAAGTTCACACCAGGTGCCTAGAGGCCAGAATTGAATTCCCTGAAGAGTTCAACTCATTACATTCAGTATCCAGTGAGAAAAGACAACTTTTAGATTTTTTACAAAATGCCCCAAAACTTCAACGTTTTCCATAGCCGGCATCATCGAAAAAGTCAGTTTTTCACCCAAAAATCCAACATCTCCAAAATTGCTCAAAAGTTCACACGAGGTGCCTAGAGGCCAGAATTGAATTCCCTGAAGAGTTCAACTCATTACATTCAGTATCCAGTGAGAAAAGACAACTTTTAGATTTTTTACAAAATGCCCCAAAACTTCAACGTTTTCCATAGCCGGCATCATCGAAAAAGTCAGTTTTTCACCCAAAAATCCAACTTCACCAAAATTGCTCAATAGTTCACACGAGGTGCCAAAGGGCCAGAATTGAATTCCCTGAAGAGTTCAACTCATTAAATTCAGTATCCAGTGAGAAAAGACAAATTTTAGATTTTTTACAAAATGCCCCAAAACTACAACGTTTTCCATAGCCGGCATCATCGAAAAAGTCATTTTTTCACCCAAAAATCCAACATCACCAAAATTGCTCAAAAGTTCACACGAGGTGCCTAGAGGCCAGAATTGAATTCCCTAAAGAGTTCAACTCATTACCTTCAGTATCCAGTGACAAAAGACAACTTTTAGAATCTTTATAAAATGCACCCAGAACTTCAACGTTTTCCATAGCCGGCATCATCGAAAAAGTCAGTTTTTCACCCAAAAATCCAACATCACCAAAATTGCTCAAAAGTTCACACGAGGTGCCTAGAGGCCAGAATTGAATTCCCTGAAGAGTTCAACTCATTACATTCAGTATCCAGTGAGAAAAGACAACTTTTAGATTTTTTACAAAATGCCCCAAGAGTTCAACTCATTACCTTCAGTATCCAGTGAGAAAAGACAACTTTTAGAATCTTTATAAAATGCACCCAAAACTTCAACGTTTTCCATAGCCGGCATCATCGAAAAAGTCAGTTTTTCACCCAAAAATCCAACATCACCAAAATTTCTCAAAAGTTCACACGAGGTGCCTAGAGGCCAGAATTGAATTCCCTGAAGAGTTCAACCCATTACATTCAGTATCCAGTGAGAAAAGACATCTTTTAGAATTTTATAAAACACCCCCAAAACTTCAACGTTTTCCATAGCCGGCATCATCGAAAAAGTCAGTTTTTCACCCAAAAATCCAACATCACCAAAATTGCTCAAAAGTTCACACGAGGTGCCTAGAGGCCAGAATTGAATTCCCTGAAGAGTTCAACTCATTACGTTCAGTATCCAGTGAGAAAAGACAACTTTTAGATTTTTTACAAAATGCCCCAAAACTTCAACGTTTTCCATAGCCGGCATCATCGAAAAAGTCAGTTTTTCACCCAAAAATCCAACATCTCCAAAATTGCTCAAAAGTTCACACGAGGTGCCTAGAGGCCAGAATTGAATTCCCTGAAGAGTTCAACTCATTACGTTCAGTATCCAGTGAGAAAAGACAACTTTTAGATTTTTAACAAAATGCCCCAAAACTTCAACGTTTTCCATAGCCGGCATCATCGAAAAAGTCAGTTTTTCACCCAAAAATCCAACATCACCAAAATTGCTCAAAAGTTCACACGAGGTGCCTAGAGGCCAGAATTGAATTCCCTGAAGAGTTCAACTCATTATGTTCAGTATCCAGTAAGAAAAGACAACTTTTAGATTTTTTACAAAATGACCCAAAACTTCAACGTTTTCCATAGCCGGCATCATCGAAAAAGTCAGTTTTTCACCCAAAAATCCAACATCACCAAAATTGCTCAAAAGTTCACACCAGGTGCCTAGAGGCCAGAATTGAATTCCCTGAAGAGTTCAACTCATTACATTCAGTATCCAGTGAGAAAAGACAACTTTTAGATTTTTTACAAAATGCCCCAAAACTTCAACGTTTTCCATAGCCGGCATCATCGAAAAAGTCAGTTTTTCACCCAAAAATCCAACATCTCCAAAATTGCTCAAAAGTTCACACGAGGTGCCTAGAGGCCAGAATTGAATTCCCTGAAGAGTTCAACTCATTACATTCAGTATCCAGTGAGAAAAGACAACTTTTAGATTTTTTACAAAATGCCCCAAAACTTCAACGTTTTCCATAGCCGGCATCATCCAAAAAGTCAGTTTTTCACCCAAAAATCCAACATCACCAAAATTGCTCAAAAGTTCACACGAGGTGCCTAGAGGCCAGAATTGAATTCCCTGAAGAGTTCAACTCATTACATTCAGTATCCAGTGAGAAAAGACAACTTTTAGATTTTTTA